TAATTCATTTTGACAATTTTCATGTCTTTTATTTGTGCAATTCATATGCATCTTTTTACTTCCTTTTCTGTCGATCGATGATTGTTCCAGTTTCCATGTTGTTTACGTCATCTTTAGTTAATGAACTCTTCTTGTCTGGTGCAAATTAATTCTCGTCAGATTATGAAAAAAGAAAATGAATAGTGAACTCCAAATAACAGTATAAAATAGCTAGACCTTGTCCAATGATCTGATCTGTGTGGGTCTAAGAAGTATCGATTATATTGATACGGAGAAAATATATCGTGAAATCTTAGACAAACTAATAATTACTAGAGATCTCTGTATTCTTTATTCAATTCGGCCCAAGTTAAAGCTTTTTAATTTTGATTGGAGCTGTTAAGATATTATAAAGATCACTTGTTAAATGTCTCTTTAATCATAAATCAAGAAACATGTAATGGTTCTGGTACTTACCCACAGCACCTCGTTAAATGAAAATTGTATTTCTATTATTATTTTTATAGAGAGATATGAAAAATATATTTATCTACGAAATTACTTTGTATTCTATAATTTATTTCGTTTTATCTTATGTATCTATCAAAGCGTTAGTTAAGGCTTTGCAATTGTTTGTAAGCTAATTAAAACTAAAGTACATAAATTCAGGGCTCATAAACAAGCAACCTCCTGGAAACCACAAGATTTATTAAATAAAAATTTGCATCTGATAGATTTAGAAGCAAAGAATACTTTGGAAATTATTTATAAACTTTTCTTCTTTGAGATGGAGAGTGCCTTTGTGGCTGTCTTTTTCTCTCTTATATGCATATAGTTCAATAAACAAAAGACAAAACATATGCTTACGCCATTGAGTATCTATATCTAAGATGACATTTAGTTTTTTTACTTAATGATCACTTAATAATTTGAAATTAATAAAAATCATTATGTTATTTAATTTTGATTGTTAGTTTTTTTCTCCTTACTTATCACCTTCTCTTTGATGGGAAAGTAGCACCAACTTTATTTAATCGATCTTTTTCTTCCTCTCAACAACATACATATATGTGCCTATGAAGGCTTTTCATACAATAGTTCCATAAAAGTATTCTAATATTTAATTTATATTCCTTACATGTTAGAATTTCTCTTCAATATTAATAACAAAAATAACGGAAAACCCATCCTTACAAGTGAATCAGATGGATGATCGAGTAGATAATCTCTATCAACGGCTCTGTAAATAAGAACAAAAATTAAATGCAGAGCTCTTTCAAATTTATTGAGGAAAGATACACTAGATTAGAATTCTTCAAGAAAGAAAAAGAAATTTCTAAAGTAAGAAGATAGTCACAATAAATAGAGGTAGATTTGGCTCAAGACCAATCCAGGACTATTTATGAATACATCTAACCTATCTAACTAAGATTGACTATACAAGGTATTTAAGATGTCTTATCCTATTCTTAGAAAAGCACAGAAAAACTCAGTCTATAAACCAATTACTCATACCATATTTAGAGAATCTGCCTCTTCACTAAAAACCTTATTATACAAAGCCACATGACTCTCAAGCCTTAACATCCTATACCAAGGTATTAGAAAAACCCTTGACCATTAAAACACCTCCTCCTTCACCACCAAAGCCAAAGCCACCATCAATAATTGACAAATGCAAAAGGATTGAAGATCCCTTGAACCCTTCAGGAATTATTGCTTCTATCCGATAAGTTGTCTTTGATCATGTTTACTTTGAACAAGATGATATAAATTTAGTAGTTTCTACCGTGGTCTCCACAGAGTATACAAACTTTAAAGAGAACAACACCTAATTGATTTATCAAAAATTGCAGTTGTCTAGCCTCAGCCCCATCCTCAATCAAAAATAGCTATAGAAGATCCTCTTGATGAAGAGTCAAAAACCATGGAAGAAGACTTCACTAGACCCATAAACCATGGTTCTAGTTCCAGACCTACTTCTAGACTTTGGTTCACTTTTGATAATCTATCTTCATTTAGATAAAGAGAAAGATTCCATAAGTTTGGTCCTTGAATTGATTTGCAGATGATCAGGCCATATGTAACTTTGAGAGAGGTACTCTCAAAATTTCTTTTAAGAATGACTAGAAATTTGAGAGAATAGTTTCAGAACCTCAGTGAGTACCAAAAGATTCAAGTAGCCAACTTGATGCTACTTTGTTTCTTGGAGCATTCCACAGAGAATTCCTTGGTGACTTTAACCTCATTAATAGAAGAAATAGATAGGAGTTCTTTGACATAAAATGTTGTTCAATTGATAGCAAGGATTCATAGAAGCACCTTCAATGAATGTTTGAAAAATATTACATGCTGAACGGTGCCAATAACATCAACCTCAAACATATGTTTATAGCTTCTCTACCTAATGAGCTTCAACTAGAGTTGCACAAATCTATTAATGTATTAAGGAGAGATATATCCCAAATGTCTCTTGGATAAATTTGCCAACTAGTTCTATTCACTTTGGATAAACTTTGTGAACAACAACTTTTAAAGTCTATGCTTAAAAGCAAGCCAAAATTGCTGTCAGCTTGTAAAAAGCCTTATTTGAAGATTAAATACAAAGAACATGAATTATGTTCTTGCAAGAAGAGTCATCCCCACAAACAGAGGCACAGATCCTATAGGCCCAAAAGATGTACTTTGAGATTCTTCAAATGAAGAACTTTGAAATTGAGAAGATTAGACAGCTGTTTAATTTGTGGACAAAATGGCATTTTGCAAAAAAGTATCCCAACAAGTCTAAAAAGGATATGAAATTACTTTAGTCTCTTGAGACTGTTGTCCCTCTTAGGGTCTGTTTGGTTCGAGGGGAGGGAAGGGGAGGGGAGGGAGGTGAGGTGAGGGGAGAGGAGGGAAGGGAAGGGGAGGGGGAGGAGGGGGAAGGGAGGGGAGGGGAGCTCCCCCCCAATTTGGAGGGGAGGCTTTGGAGGGGAGGGGAGGGAAAATTTTAAAAATTTCCCCTCCCCTCCTCCTAACCAAATGAGGGGAGGGGAGGGGAGGGGCTCCCCTCCCCTAACCAATGAGGGGAGGGAAGAGGAGCCCCTCCCCTCCCCTCCTCCCCCCAAACCAAACGGAGCCTTAATGACGACTAGGATGTTGAATCTGTCCTTGGAAAACGATCTAAACAAGATGAAGACACTGGATATGTTCTTCTAGAATTTGATGAAAGATTTGATGATTAACACTATTCACCTTAGGAAAGATAAATAATAAAAAGCATTAGGATGACTTTATAGAAATGGCATAGGATTGTCTTAATTAATTTACTTAATAATTTAATTCTTTAAACATTTCTAATTAAATATCTAGAGTTAAATGCTGGTAAAAGATGACATCAGTGTGATCAGTACTAGACTAATACTGATTAATGTACTGCAAGTTGGAACCAAGTTAATGAAATAAAAAGTGGTTTTGTGCCAGCAATTGTGGGTGTAAGGATTACTCTGTGGTAATGTTGTAAGCTTTCCATTTAAGCTTTCGGCTTTTTCAAATGAATTAATGGGATTTTTGTCCTGGATTTGATGCTCTTTCTTAATGTAATGGGTCCTCCTTGAATAAGACAATAAACCCTCAAAAGGTACGTTGTTGGTTGTCAACCTCGACATTCTTGGCCTAACCAGATGATATGAACCTTTGTGTTCATGTTAGGAATTTTTATTTCAAACTATAAGTTTTATATATAGCTCATATATATATATATATATGCGAGCGCTTTAAATAAAGTTTGAGATGAGCCGTAATTTCTTATAAATTAAATACTAGGATATTATATATATATATAGATCATATAACATACATATATATATATATGGATTGGTACTCATCAACTTAAATCATGCTTATTTCACTTTTTGGAGTATACTCCATCTGATTTTTTTTTTTAAGTTACCTTCGGCATTTTTACCATAAATAAGAAAATTAAAGATTGAAAACTTATTAATTCTGCCTGAAATAGATAAAAACTTTCCAACTTTAATTTGCCTTTATTATTAAACCCATCATGTGAGAAATTGAAGAGCTAAATTTGGAAAACATAAGCCATTGAATAAGGAGAATATAAGAAAAAAATATATTATATGGTGTCTTATAAAAACGACTACAGTTATGTATTGTTTCCATTCCTACAATATACTTTGTCTTTTGGTAGATCGATAACTCCAATACATAATGCATTCTAAAGTTGTTTTGCATGTGTAAGAGTTGATTATACAAACGAGTTTTTGAAGAAACATGATATAGATATTATATTGAATAAACTAGCTAAACTAGCCAAGAAGCTGTGAAAAAAAAAAAAAGATTATCCTTAACAATGGTGGAGCTCTGGGGGGAGAACACAAATGATTAAGTGTTCGATAAGGACAGCTTGGAGGCCTGACAAAGCCTCCACATGGCAAAAAGGTAATGATACCAAATGTCTTATAGCAGACTTTGCACCAAACACAAGTCTCTGCGTGGGGAAAACAATGTGACATTCATGTGTGTACATCAATTTTTGTCTGTGTGTGATCCTCCACTAGGTTTCCTCGGCTGGCAGAGACACATTGCTGGCTACAAATTAACGATATGTATAGTGATTGATGATCAAAAATAAAAGGAAAAACAAATAAATATATTCACGGTTGCGAGGTGTGGCCTAGATATAGCTCTTTCCAGTCTACTTAGCCTTTTACTGGTCGTTAAACAATATATGTATATTGCCACTTGAGCCTTGACTTATCATGGATAATTTAATTCAAAATTTTAATTTGTTAACTTAATTTAAGATTCAAATAATCTACAAAATGAATCAATCTGATCTCAAGATAGACTTGAATACTATTTTTGTGGTGTAATAGTGAAAGTTGAAAGTGGCTAGAAAATGAAGGCTTAGGGCATAATATAGCGGTGGGAGGGAGGAGGGGGTGGCGTGAAAACTTGGTGTCACGCCGCCCAAACAAAAATGTTTTGCCTTCTGATATCTATGTGCCATCCCCACGCGCAATCAATGCCTTCCTCTGCCACACCTTCTTTTATATATATATATATATATATATCGCTCTCCTGCTTCTATTCTCAACAGCACCTTTCCTCCTCCTATTCACATTATTGGATTATTTATATGTGTGTGCACATCGTTCCTCTCTTTAATTTACACAAAACATTCACATCTCTCTCTCTACCCCCTCTGTCCTCTAGAGCCCCTCCCTCTCGTTCAGTGTCCAGGGCAAGCTCGAGAAGAGAAGAAGATCATGACAGCAACCCAGTTTTCTGTGAGTACTCACTATTATATATTTAGAATGAACTGTTGCGTTACGTTTTTAATCCAAGAACATATTGACGTGTGGCTTGAATCACCGGAAGCGAAAGTCTAATTCTACTTACTAAGTCCTTTGGCGGGTTTCCCCCAGGGAACTTGAAACTTTTGACGTGCTGGCTAGCTAGCTTTTCTTCTGCATTTCATTTTCTGGCATATTTTGACGAATGCAAAAGTCTTCCCCGGCCATTATCTTATCGTGATAAATAGACTGTTTTCAGAGGAGGTATCGATTAGAGTTCATTGACTCTATAGGTTAAGAGTCCTGCACGTAGCGATTGTGTTTGGAAATTTCTGAAATTTCATTAATTAGCTGCTCATGAGATGATAATAGAACGCGATGTACTATAATGTTTGTAGGTGTGAATGTGGGGGTGATTCCATGTTGCGGATAAATGGAAATAAAATAATTTTACCAATGAGACGTTTAATTTTCTTTTTTTATGTTGCAACAAAAACCTTTTAATTAATTATAAGAATATAATGGTATGTTTTGGAGGTTTACTATCATGAAAAGTATATCGAGATTTTTATCCTTATTTTATTAGTAATTATAATGAAAATATCTCAAATCCATCGATTTTAGGCCTAACCTTATAATCTTTTTTAATTACCCCTGATTACATATCATCCTCATCATCGATCTTGAGTTTGGTATATGTTTAATTTTTCTGTTCATTTTACTATAAACAAATATATTTAAATTAGTTTGGACAAGTTAAAACACCATGAAGGTGATAAAAAATATTATTTGCTAGAGGCAGAGGTCTTTGTCCACCACCAGCATGCTTTGAGGGAGTAATAGTGCACTGCACTCAAAGAAATGTGTCATGCTTGTGCCAGCAAAGTCAAGCTTTACGGCCAACTTTTGTGTTCACCATACTTTTTTCTCAAGTTCATGCAACTAATTAATTAAAGCCAATGGTTATATAGGACAAAATAGAACCAGGGCTTCTTAGGATTAATTATAGCATGGCCATATTCTATACATATATTGTTTGTTAAATCGGTTTCATTAATGGTGGGGTTCCACTGCTGGTCTGCCAATTTTGTGTGCGCACATGGTGCCCAATTGTTGGTCCAATATATATAACAAATTTTCATTATCATCATCATGATTACTACGAGAAATATATATTTGTTTTCAACCCTAGAGTAGATATTTTTTATATAGAGCTATAAGGCTGTAAAACTATAATGACGATCGATGAGATAAAGGAAGCAGTGGAGCTTTAACATGTACTGGTGAGTGTGGTTGATTATTTGGGCCATTTTGGAATTAATCAATTAGAATAATCAACATACAAGGTTACGTAACGATAAAATATATATTGCTTGATCAAGATGATTCAAACCAACACTTCTCATGTTTTGAATAAAAGTTCGTAAGCTTCTGAGGATTGTAATTAATAAGTAGTTCTGAAGAGCAAAAAAAACAAATTCTGTGCCATCGAATTTATTTCCTTATAGTTGTTGCCATTAGTGATTATAGGCCTGTATTGGCCTAACAAATTAAGTTTGTCCAGTCTTCTATATATATATATATATATATATATTATATATATATATATATATATTGCCATGAGATGAGTTAAATTAAAATGAAGCAAAAAGGTGAAATAATTAATTATGATATTGAAGAAAGAATGCATTTTTGTTGGTTTAAATTAGGAGAGATCAACAATGGAGATGGAATCTGGTGTTCCTCCGGGGTTCAGATTTCGTCCGACAGAGGAAGAGCTCGTAGGGTACTACCTCAAGAGGAAGATAAACTCGTTAAAAATCGACCTAGATGTGATTGCAGAGATCGATCTCTACAAGATTGAACCATGGGACATCCAAGGTAATGTGAGTGGGAGTCATATAATATATATATATATATATAATGTTTAAATGAATTGAATATAAAGATGCAACTAACTTGATCATGCATATAAATATAAATATGGTGAATGGGGGCGCAGAAAGATGCAAGATGGGGTACGAGGAAGAGAAAGAATGGTATTTTTTCAGTCACAAGGACAAGAAATACCCAACAGGAACGAGAACAAACAGAGCGACGGCAGCAGGGTTCTGGAAAGCAACAGGTAGGGACAAGGCAGTGATGTCGAAGAAGAACAGAATCATTGGCATGAGGAAGACCCTTGTCTTCTACAAGGGACGTGCTCCTTATGGCTCCAAGACCGATTGGATTATGCATGAATTTCGCCTCCAAACCTCCCACACGCTCCTCCTCAGGTGCGCACGTTATTATCTCTTTTGTTTGTGCTTCTGTTTGTTTACTCTCTGTGTTTCAGGGTAATATAACTAACTAGTTACCAAGCATATTTGGGTTAAGCCAAAACATATGAGAAGCCAATGTGCTATAATTTCTATTCAACGTACGCAATTATAATAAAACCATCTCCATTCAAATTGGTGTTGAAAACAAGCCTGTCAAGGTACTTTAATTTTGCCTTTTCCATCCAAATTCCCATTGCTAAAGACTCTAGCAAACGTAACCACAACCATGAAACCTTCACACACGCACACCCATATATGCACACACTTTGTGTATAACACTTTTTTTAATATATATAATCAACCTTCAGATAGATATACTAATTATAACCTCTACATACACACACAGATATAAATATGACGGGTTTCATTTATTTATATTTTTAAATTTCAATTTATTATTTAAAATTTTAAGTGGAGGAAGCCATTATTCTCATGAATATTCAGCTACCATTTCAAAAATATTCCTGGCAAATTGAACCAAAATAAGAAAACATTTCAGAAGAGATTTAATTTGCATTAATTAGTTTTAAGAATAAAAAAACGTTGACATGCATGAGTTCAACAAAATTAGAGAAAGTTTGTCTAGTTTAGGACAAGTTAGCTGAGCATTTTCATTAACAAAAATAGAAAAAGAAAATAGGTTAATATTTGATGCAAGAAAAATCTAAAGGAGGGAAGAGTTTGTTATGCAGGAAGAAGGATGGGTAGTGTGCCGAGCATTCAAGAAACCTAGTCCTACTCAGCACAGACAGAGTTTCGAATGTTGGGGTAACCAAACACACATTTTAGGGACCAATTAAGCAATAGTGCAAGACCTCATCAATCTCTATCATTCACCAACGAAGCCCTAAATCAGGTGCTTTATCCAAGTAATGAAGGACCAAGTTTTAGCCATCCCTTCACTTCGAATCACCACAACCAGCAGTTTCCGTCAAACGATGTCGTTTTCGATGACAGCAACAACAACCTGCAGCTTGTTGAGCTCGTTCCACAGCTCGATAGCCCCACGGCTTCCCTACAAGCTCGAGCAGTGAAACAAAATGGCCTCGCAAGTGAAGGCAGTTACAGTCAAGAAAGGACCAATAATAACAACGTTAACGACGGCCAAGGCATTGATTGGAAGAGCTTCGATAGCTTGTTCACTTCCCAGTTCACAGATGATACTGCCGCCGCTTCTTATTTTTCTCATCAAAACATGCCCTCGAGTCATGACCTACAAGCATTACTACCTCAAAATCATCAAGCTAGCCATGTCCTGGGATGCTTTCCTGATTCATAACCAGCACGCCTCTGGTGCATGAAAATAATAAGTCCGATTATTAGCTACCAAAATGGTGGATTTCATCATAATAATCTTCATTATGTTATATAAAATATGTAGTGTTGTCCAGAAAATGGAAAGCCTGAAGGTCTTTTTAGGAGAAAACCTTTGGCCGGAAAATTTTCTCCACGTATAAAAGGATTGAGATTCCTTGAAAAAGTGAATTTCTACGGAGTCTAAAGAATTTGAATAGAAACTTCTTGGACTTTTACTTTTTCTAAGTTTGACTTTTCAGTGTCAATGTTTCTGTCATCTACAAATGTATATTCTCTTTCTTGCTTGCATTAACAGTGGTTGTGTTTTAGTGGAGAAGCCATTTTATTTTGATATCACTGCTATCCCAGTCGAAGTTCCGGACTGTTTTCGGCCTGAATTCCCTAGAAATACAATACATGTCAGAAGCCAGAAGTATGAATACATCAAATTAATGCTAATTAAGATATATAGATCTGGTTAAGATGAAAAATAATTTAATTATAAATCTGCAAGCATATATATTAACTGCAACTAAGGGGGCCACATATGCGCGCATGCATGCACCTCGTCACATGCATTCAGTGGAGCGGCAATGCTAAGTTGAGGGGGTGCAAATTAAATAAAATAAGTGAGGTATATAAAATTTGTAACTTTACACCCTTACTTTTGATATTTTGCACTCTTTAAATTAAATAAAAAATATTTCAGCTAAAATACTTATTAGATATATAATATTTCAAAAATCTAGATAAGATATAAAGGGCATATTTATAATAAAAGACCATACCAATATATTCAATATATTTTTTTAAAAATGAAAATGATGATCGAACTCTTTATGTTATTATAATTTTAATCCTAGCATAATTATTATTTTTAAAAAACATTAATTTTTATTAAATTATTTCGTACCCACTAATTTGAAGTCCTGGCTCCATCACTGCTGATGCATTTGATTTGTCATTCGAACAATCAGAGCTGATCTAATTAATGTATTTCTAATAATAGATTATCAAGGATTTGTTTTATTAAAAAAGTGCCTGCAGAAGTCAAAGAACGCCAGCCAGATTCAGTTCACCTATCACTAAACTAATCAAGTTATACAATTACCTATACATGATTCTCACCCATAAATAAAATCCAAATCACCAGTTGTGCGTGCAGTAACGTGTTCGGCTTCTTTCCCATTGCTTTATTGGGCTCTGTCCTCTTTTAAAATGTGACTTAAACCTCCTCGACACTCGTCAACCCTCTTGAAATGATCGAAGCTGAACTTTAGTGTGGTAGGTTAAAACCAAGTTTAGAGGATCCCTGAATTAGTGAAGTTTTCATTTTCTTAATTTCACGTGCATATTTTTTTATTTTTAAAAAAGAAAAAAAAAAGAAAAGAAAAGAAAAGCAACATATATTATATATGTACACGGACAACTTTATACCAGCTTCACCAAATTCAAGCTTGAGAGAATGTTTTCCCTTGAATTAAATAATGGAGCAATGACATTGAGGGTGTCCATCCAATCCAATAAACTAGTTAAAATGATGAGAAATAAAGGGATGCATTAATTAATTTTAAGAAAAGGCTAGAAAGGATCCGATTGTTATTATTATTATATGAAGGATAACTGAGAATATGACACTGTGCTTCGCTTAGCTTGTTATTTCATTCAAAATAACTCAGCAACGTAACTATATATCTTCTCAACATATATAGTTCTCGCCATCTCTGGCTTCATCTGCATGACGACTCTGCAAAGTTACAACTTAAGTAATTAATGGTAGCAACTTAAGTAAACATATGATACCAAAGAATGACTGTTACCATGGAACACGTTTTTTAAATGAGCTATCTTGATTAAAAAGTATTTTTTTTCCTAAATTTATTATGAATTTTGGTAAGGTTAAATAGCAATTTTACTCTTAAACTATAAATTCAAAAACATTTGGGATCCTAAACTTAATTTTGGTACAATATTTTCCTATAAACTATAGAAAAGCTAACAAAAGTAATTATAGAAAATGATTTAAAAAATTATAAATAAGTGTCTTATAAACTTAATCTATACTAATTTTTTATTTGTAATTTTTTAATCTTTTTCTTTAATTTTTTAAGTTTTTTCTATAATTTTCTCATTAGCGAATGGTCGAAGTTAATATTTGTTAATAGTTATTGCAACACTATATCATTTTTAAAAGTTGAAGAAAAACATTATCTTAAATAACAAAAATAAAACATTAAGGACTTTTCATTAACGGACCCCAAATATGGAATGAAAGGAAAACATGTTGATATTGAGTTAACAAAATTATCACCTTCATATGAAACATATTAAAAAAAAAAAAGGTCCTTAAATATTAAAAATAAACTTTTGGGGAAACATCGAGTGATGAGGTGCCATGTAGTATGGTTATGATTTGAAAACCAAGTTCAGAATAATCCATATTTGAGGAAGAAGAGATACTTAGAATATTCGTGTCCTAAACAATGCTAAATTTAGAATATTCGTTGCTCTACCAGACAAAATACGCCACGGGAAGACCCTTTTACCATCTCTCTTGTAATTTCCCAAATTCAGCATTCTTATTTCCCCCCGACTTTTAATAGACTTCTCTCATGTTGTTTATTAAAGGCTACTATATTAAATTAAAATTTTACTAACTTGCAATAGGGCAACACAAAATGTTCATCCATTGTAAATGCCGAACGCCAAGTTTGGGATATAGTGACATTAATTTAGATTATCTTTGGTTATAAGGAATCTCATTTTATTTTAAAATTTAACATGGCCACTGTGTAAATATTAAATGCACAACCAACACTTCTCGATCTATTTATTTATTTATTTCTTTGAAGAATTTGAGTCTCCTTAATACAATAACATCATAGGGTATGGATTTTAACTCAACAAAGTCTAAATCCAAATTAATATCAATATAATAGGGTATGGCTTTGTCATAAAATGCTGGCATTGGCTAAATCATAAGCCAAGTAATGGAATTTCAGATATTTTATTGAAGGTAAATTGACGACTCTCACTGTAGAAATCATGCATCAAACTATCAAACTATTTATATCCATGTTTCAAACAACTAATGACATGCTAGAGTCGTCCAAAATTAAAAACACGCTAATGGAAACATTTTTATAGTTGTTAGGATTGCTTTTGGACTTTGGTTCACATATTGATAATCTATATCGTTTACATTTATAAAAATAAATAAATCATATCAGCAAGATAATAAATTCAAAAAAGGGAGAATGACATATAAATCCTTTTAAAATAGAAAAATGATAACTTGGTCTCACCAAATATGATAAGAATAGTGATATTCCAAGAAATTTATTTGAGATTAAATTTTTATGTAAAATTACTTTAATACCCATTTGCAACTAATTTTTTATAGGTCGTAAGTTTGATATAAGTATTCATAAATTTAATTTTGTCAATTGACTAAAACAATTTAACAAATCACAACTTTCAATTAACAATTTTCTTCATTTAGCAAAATTCAACTAATTTTATCTGATTCACATGTTTGGTATACAAATTTATCAGTTTGATTTCACCAATGATTAAAACGATTTAGAGAATCACAATTTGTTATTAACAAAGTCTAACTAATGTTGAATCGTTTGTAAGTTTGGTGTAAGTATTTACAAGTTTAATTTCACTAATAATTAAAAATATTTAAAAAATTGTGACTTTTTAAGTAACAAAGGGATACTAACTTGAGACCTTATTGTCATTATCATATTTCATATAGAAATTTAATTTCAATGAAATCTAAACTAATTTCATATAGAAATTTAATTGAGAAAATTATGTATAGGTCTCGTGGAGCATACTAGAGTATAATTTAAAATTAAATTGCAAAGATAATAATACTCTTATTAAATATGTATTATATTAATTAAATAATTAATTTACAACTACTTTAATAGTAATTTACAACTATAATTTTAACTTTTTACAATTTAACTCTTCATATATCCAATAGTTAAATAATCATATGTTACTAATACTAATTCATTAATAATTTACAGCTGTAACTTTACATATTCAATAGTTAAACTGATCAATTTAATTATTAGATACATGAAGTTATAATTATAAAAAATTGAAGTTATAGTTATAAATTACTAATAAATTAGTTATAAATTATTTTATTGATGTAGGGGAGACTCATGTGTGCTTAGTCTCAAATATTCTTATGTCTTAGTGCTACAGGTATTGATCCAAGTAAAGCCCCTCAACACCTCTTATAGGCAAACCTGGGTCGCTTTAAGATTAGAGTCGGGAATAAGGACCGAGCTTAGAAGCTCTGTTTAAATAAGAGTTTGGGCTTTAAAAATAAATTTTTTTAAAAGTAATTGGGGTTGAGGACTTGGCCCTGATAAGTCTTGTAAAAAAAGGCTCGAGCTCAGGTTGCCCTTCAAGCCCTGTTATATTATTATTATTATTATTTTTTGGTGAAACATGTTTTGAAGCCCATACCTACTCACCTGATCCTACACGCATCATATTATTATTAATTTTAATTTATTCTAAAATTAATGTAATATAATTTAATAAACATCAGTATATAGTATAAAATTTATGATATTTTTTATTTTTCTATAATTATTATGTTTTTGTATTTATAAAAAATGAAATATTTTTTAACCAAGATTTAAATTTTATTACTAGACTTCTAAATGTGTGTTGTTTAATTTCTAAAAAATTATGAGGATTTTAATTTTTTAATTTTAAAATATTTTAATTAATTTATAATGTTTAATTTTATTTTAATTTTTTTATTTTTTGAAAAAGGGCTTGCAAGCCCGGCCCTAAGCTCTTCACATAAGGGCTGGGCTTGAAAAATAAGGTTTAAAATGGAGAACCGGGCTTTAAGGTTTAGGCCTATAATGGCTGAGCCCATAAGGACCGGACCCGCTCGTATTCCCAACTCTATTTAAGAGCCTCAACCCCTTAGCATCTCAACTCACTCACGGATCTCTAAACGTAGTGACAAAGGCTCACACACATGGATTGCGGTTGGATTCTTTTTTATGCATAGGTTCCTCAAAAAAGCAAGTGTAGAGCATACTTGAATTTGGGTATGACAAAAACATGATATTAAATACTCAAGCTTTTAGGAAAGAGAAAGAGTTTAGAAAGACATAATTGAAGAACACACAAGTTTTTATTTTCCAAAACAAGTTTTGTCTTGCAAGAAAGCGTAACCTTCAGGCCAAAAAGATGACTAATGAGATTTTTCAAACAAAGAACTTAAAAGGTGAAGAAGTCAGACAGATATTTTATCTATAGATAGAAAGGATATTTTGCTAAATAGTGTCCTAATAAAACCAAAAAAAATATGAAGATCTTACAGTCCATTGAGATTGTTATCCCTCTTAAAGATAAGCAAGATGTTGAATCAATTCTTGAAGAACAATTTGAAAGAGATGAAGATACTAGATATGTTCTCTCTATATCAAATGACAGCTTTGATGAGGAAAAGTATCTCTCTCAATATCCACCTTTATACACTATTGGACTAGGCCTAAATCAAAGGATTAGCCCATCTCCTTTAAGCCTAACACTAACAGACCTTATAACCAACCACCTTACCCTTCATAGATCCCATAACTTAATGTGAAAATCAAAATCCTGCCATCCAAATATGATGCCTCTGTCTCTGTCATTGCTTTCATAGACACTTGCTCTTGTAGAAGTGTCATGAAACCTCATATTCTTCTCAAAGAAGAATGGGTTCCTCACAATGAGTATTTTGTCACTACTGATGGAAAGCTGTTTAAAATAGATTTTATCACTAGATGAAAAATTGGTATTAGATTTTTTCCTAGATGTACTATTTGGACAAAATTTTTTGGAAGTAACCTTCTAACAAAGGATATAAACTAATAACCTATGTATACTTCCCAAATGAATCCATTTCAAATAGTTCTTTCAGGAATACACTGATATTCCTAGCATTATGGAAATTCAAAAATCTCCTCCAAAATATGAATCGATTAAAGATAAACTTCTACAATTTTATTATGAAAGTCATGAATAATTTTAGTATCCATTTCCTTTATAGAGAAATAGGAGATTTGCCATTAAGCTTCCCTTCAAAAAGAATGAGGATGTCAATTCTACCAAAGCATCCCCTCCTAGAATGAGTCTAGAAGATATTGCACTGGCTCGAGAATAATGTGCAACTTTACTTAAACAAGTCCTATCAAACCAACTAAGTTAGATTAGGCATGCTAAGCTTTCTATGTTGAAAAAAAAATTGAAAAAACAAAGAGGGAAAAAGAGGTTGGTGATTGACTATAAGCCCCTTAATTCCTTCCTTCAAGATGATAAGCTCCCTCTGCCCAAAATCAACACTCAATTAGTCCACCTTAAGCGGGCTAAAATATTTTTTAGGTTTAATCTCAAAGCAGGATTCTAGCAATTGGGTATAGATCCTACAAATAGACACAAGATGGCCTTCTGCATTCCAAATACTCAATATCAATGGACAATAATGCCTTTTGAACTTAAAAATGCTCCATCATTATTCTAAAAGGCCATGATTCAAATTTTTAACCCTATCATTGACAATGCTCTGATGTACATTGATGACATCTTACTATTTTCAAGATTTGAACAAGATCTCAAAGATTTGTTGACCAGATTCCATAAAATAATTTAACAATATAGGATTATGCTTGCAGCTCAAAAAGGGTATATTGGATAGTACCATCCTGGCCCATCTATTGCCAAAGAATTATTAAACTTTCCTGATAAAGACTTATTCAAGACTCAAATTCAATAGTTTTTAGGTACAGTTAATTATATTAGAGATTTTATCCCTTAAATATCTCATCATGCTAGCCAACTGCCCAGACTTTTAAGAAAAAAATCCACCACCTCGGGGTCCCAATGAAACAAAAGCTGTCTAGCACCTAAAGTAAATTTATTAGCATCTTCCTCTACTTAGAATTCTGATAAAGGACGATGCATTTTGTAGACCGATGCAAGTTATAACTATTGGGGAACTTTACTTATTAAAGAAATAAATGGGAAAAGACATTATTGTGGTCATGTTGGCGGAGAATTCAAACCTTTGAAAAGTATTATCATATTGAATACAAAGAAGTCTTAGTTGTGAAACGTGGCATTGAAAAATTCAATTTTTATCTCAGCCCTACCATTTTGTGGTAGAAATGGATAACATGTCATTCTCAAAGATTCTTGATCAAAATAAGAAGATTTTCCTGAAGCTCAACTCCTTTGATAGAAAGATTGGTTTGCACGCTATAAATTTACAGTCTGACACATCAAAGGAAAACATAATACCATTGTAGATTATCTCACAAACTCCAAACAAAAAAATCAGCCTTGTAACTCCTTCTTAAGTCCAACTCCTTTTCATTCTCAACATCATGCCTAGCAAATTACCTTTTCCCCCTAGAAACAGTCCAACCACTGTCCTTGAAATCTAAAACTAGCTAGAAGAAGCCTGTTTTACTGGCTTCACCTTTTACTTTAAAAAAACCCATATCAACCTCAACTTGAATATTTTAATATTCAAGTTCCTTACCTTGCTATTCCTTTTATTAGAAGCCATATTCCAGATGAACTTATGTGGCATATTTGGACTTTATCCTCTCTTTATATTTGTGTCATAGCTGTTCCTCCCTTAGAGATGTTTCATTACATCTATGACTCAGCTTATGAAGGTTCAAACTTATAGAAGCTCCTTGAATGATTCACACTTATTTCCAGATAGTGTAAGGAACTCTCTTGAGTAATTGAAAAAGAGTCACTATGAAAAATCTCTTTACATAAACAAAGGGCCTATTCCTTCCTTGTGGTTTATCATTTATATCACCTTAATAGTAATAGAAAGCTCTACGTAGCCAACCAAGCATGTTTATGGAAGACCGCTACCAACTAGGCAACACATGAAAATTTCACTTTAATTGAATTAAAATAATTTTTATGTGAAATGAATATTTATCCAAGTCTATACCCTTATCTCAAGTACATATCTCTCGGTCCAATCCCTTACCAGTCTATCCTCCTAAGTGATCCATCTCCAGTTATCTAATATGAACTCCCTAAATGGCTCACAAGTCTTGTTGTACAAATAGGATATTTCACCTGGATGGAATCTTATGATGGAACATCTTCATCTATTTCTCATGTTTTCCCTCCAGACAGCCAAGACCTATATCAGATAGAGTCATAGACCTAACAACTCTTTCCTGAATTAAAAAACAGAACAACCTTTGAACCTGCTCAAGATATAGACCTGGACATTAATAAAGATAAGATTCTGTTTAAAATTTCTACTGCTTGTGTTAATACATGAAGAAAAACGTTGGCTCAATCTATCATATGATTAGTAATACATCCATAAAAGCTTGTATTAATCTCGAAAGGAATTTACTTTTAGTCATATCTTTTTTTAAGTATTTGTCTTGTAGCTATTTTGTCAAAAGCCACTTTTGACTTTTATACAAAGTAGTTTACTTTAGGTTATATCATCTTGCTTTTACTTTTACCAGGCATGTGAATAAAGTTTGTCTACTTGTAATTATGTTTGTTTGCTTATAGTCATATACTGACTATCTTGATCCTCTACACTATATCTATATAAGAGGGTTTTAGATTGCTTGTAAGACATAACTCGTTTGGAAAATAAAAACTTATGTGTTTTTTAATTATGTCTCTCTGAACTCTTTCTCTCTCCTAAAAACTTAATTCTTTAATATCCTATTTCTATCATACTCAAATTGAAGTATATTCTGCACTTGCCTCTCTAAGGAACCTGTGCATTAGAAATAATCTGACCGATGATCCTTGTGTGTGAGCCCATGTCACTATGCTTAAAGATATGTGGGTTTAGGTCTCAAAGGGTTGAGGATTCTAAAGCGATTCAAGTTTATCCAAAAGAGGCGTTAAGAGGCCTTACCTGGATCAATACCTTGTAGCACTAAGACACAAGAATATTTGGGATTAGGCTCATATGAGTCACGCCCTCAAGGCATTTTTGTCTTTTTACTCAAATTTTAAATTACACTCAGATCTTGAGTGACTTAGTTGTGATTTCTGAAATTTGTAAGATTTATTTATAAATAATTCTACTTTACAAGATTTATATATAATTTTTTCCATTTAATTTCAAAGAAATCTAACTTGAGACCTTATTGTTATTATCATACTTCGTTTCTATTTGTAAGAAAAAAATTGTATTACACAATTTGAAAAAATCAATTAAATATATTAAGTGTGTTTGAAAATAAAAGAATTAGATTGCAATACTCTTTATTAATTGTATTAGTCAAACCTTCATTAATTATTTTTTATGACTATGAATGATAAAATTATGTGGAATAATTTAAAAAGTTTGCAATAAATACTTATTAATAATAAAAATTTGCTTATATAAAAAATAAATTAAGAGTAATAATTTTTTTATAAATAAAAATAGAAAGGGGTGTTTTGTCAAACTTTCATTTCTCTATTTTATAAGAATTTATTTATAATTTTCCCTTAAAAAAAAAGTCAAACACAAGCATATTTGCACATCATATTTAATGGAAAAAAAAAATCTTAAAACACAAATCAATTTAAAAATTCACTTTCTTCCTCAGGAGTCTTCAGAAGCTCCTGCCTCTGATCTCTTTCTCCATGTAAATCAGCAAATGCTAGCATCCCCTATTTTTCTCTTTCTCTCTCCCTGCAAAATCTTAGGGTTTTTTTGATCACTGAGAATTGCTAGCTTCAGAGGCTCCATCCATCAAATCCCGAGACCCCAAAGTCTTCAGTTTTTGTTTCATTATACACGAAATTTGATGGGCACATCCTAATTTGATTGATTGATGTCTTTCACCTACGTTTCTCCGCTGCGACTTCACAGGTCATGTCATTTTGGCACTCGAGCGCCACAAATGGTATCGCTTTCATGAAGGTAGTGCTGACTCTTTCTGGAGTTGCAATTCGTGCATCAGCGACGCGCTAATCATGGCGGCACCAAGGAATCTGGTGGGCGATACTGGGAGGTTCATGAGGGATGAGGAGAATGGCAAGGAGGACGAGGAGAAGAAATCCAAATTCGAGAGGTTTCCGCTGAATAGGTGGGAATTCGCTGCCGCTCTCGGTGTGTTCTTTGTTTTCTCCGCCGGTTTGATTTGCATTTACTTGACAATGCCTGCGGCGGAATATGGAAAGATTAAATTGCCACGCACGATTTCGGATCTTCGCATCCTCAAGTACGTTTCTTTATCTTCCTCGAATGATTCTGTGACTGACATCGTTTCCGTTGATTCTGATCATGTTTATTAACCATACCCTTCTTGGATTTTGTTGATGAATTCCTCTGGCTTTGATACCTTGAAATGAAGCTAAAATTGCTAATAATTGAATCTAGTGGGAAATAAAATGACCCGGGACTTGATCCTTGCTTTCTGGGAATTTAACAGGGTTGTCGTTCCCTTTTAATCTACTGGTTATAAGTGGATTTCGAACTTGTGCTCATTTATTATGATATGCTGATCACTTGTATTGACTAATATACACCATGTATGACCCTGAAAACGTTGCTGTTCATGTGAAAATATTATAGGAAAGAAATAACAACATATTTCTATTCCATTAAGGAAGAATGATGAAGATTCTGTTGCTTGATTTCTTGATGAATTTAATCACTATTTAGTTGCTCTGTTCAAAGTGCCGCCCCCCACCCCCCCTCCGTATCATACTTTTCTCTCAACAATATTTTTATTTTCCGATATATATATTTGGCAGGGATCATTTTGCAACATATGCAGATAATCACCCGGCCCAATTCATTCTTGGTTACTGCTCTACCTACATCTTCATGCAGACTTTTATGATTCCGGGAACAATTTTCATGTCTTTGTTAGCTGGAGCCCTATTTGGAGTTTTTCGTGGAATTCTGTTAGTTGTTTTCAATGCTACGGCTGGAGCATCATCCTGCTTCTTTTTGTCTAAGTTAATTGGCCGGCCTATCGTTTCTTGGTTGTGGCCTGAAAAGTTAAGGTTTTTCCAAGGAGAGGTATGATTTTTTTCTTTCTTTTATTTAACAATCACCTTGAATATTATGAGTCTTCTGTATTAACCTGATTTGCCTTTGATATATCAGATAGCAAAGAGAAGGGATAAGCTGCTGAATTACATGCTTTTTCTGAGAGTTACCCCTACATTGCCAAACCTATTCATCAATCTTGCATCTCCAATTGTTGATATACCATTTCATATCTTCTTTTTGGCAACATTGATTGGTCTTATCCCGGCCTCTTACATTACTGTCAGAGTAAGTTTTTGTTCCCATCTTAATGCCATAGTATAATATGCTGATTCTTCCCCTTCAACATTTATGTTTTACTGAGTTCTTTTATTTTTAGTTAGTGGTTATATTTTTTGCATTGATGACTTAATGTTTCCTTCCCAATCCCATTTCTTACAGTTGCTCTGTTGCCTTCTTCATTAGGATCTTTTTTAACAGGATAAAATTTGCAAGACATTCAAAGTATAAGAGGGGTATCCAATACTAGAGACAGAAAAGGGGGAAAAAGGGAAGAGAAAGGGAAAGAAAAGGGAGGGGGTTTGAAAATGTTATCTTATGAACCCTCCTAGTACATATATGAAAGGATGAATGGATTTGTTTGTCATGCCCAGAAACTCTGCCAAGTTGATTCATATAAAATGGAATTGAATATTTTGTTTGGACGGAAGAAAGATCTTTAAAAATACATCTGTTTGTGTATATAGATAATTTTTCATTGAACTATGTGGTTTGCAAATATTAGTGAACACATGGCTATACTGTTTTTGTTAACTTATCCCACAAAATTGTGTAAAACATGAAGTGAAAAAAAACAAAAGCTTGAATGCAAATGAAATGATGAGTTTTTAGGAAAACTAGTGTGGATCCTGTTTGTTTGTGTATATGATTTAAAAAAATGAGCCACACTTCGAAGTAGTGTGGCTTATTAAAGTTTTTATATAATACTTTCCTAAGCAGAAATTAGAAACGAGTTTAAGCAATAGCAGGAAAGACTTGTGGATAACTGAAGGGATTAGTTTGAAGATTTGAAGGGTATAAAAAAGTGATTTATAGGTCCATATTTGGTCTGGGGATTGACATGAAATCTAAAAATTGGGTTCATTGGATTAATTGATGCTCAAGATGACAAGAGATGACAAATTGGAGTCATTTAGCAGCTCTGAATTGTATTTGTGGAATTGTGGCGTGAGAAGATTCCAAATAGAAGGATGACCACTGATAATTCCTAATCCAAGCTTCTTTTTTTTGTTGGGCAATTTTGTAAATGTTAGTGAAAGTTGGTGCAGTATAACAATATGGACGTGCAGTTTGACCCTTTTAATTCCAGAATAATGTTTCCAAACTAAACTTGATCCCGACTAAAGTTTGGGCCAATCTGTTATTGCAATAATGACTTAATCTCACCAATTTAGATATCAAGTGCTTCACCATAGTGCCATTTTTCAAGCCATCATAACCATTGGTATAGCGCATCATGCATCATGTTGTGCAAAAAAAAAAAAAAAAGAATATATCAGATATCTCTAGTATAATTTAGGATAACAACAAATCAACATCAACAGTATACTAGTAAACCATCTAATGTATAAGAGAAAGTAAATGCATTTAGAGCATGAGAATTTAATAGTCATGCATAAATGATAAATCAAAACATCAAGTTCTTAAATCATAAATACGTCCATCTGTAGCAAATATTTTGAGATTATGGTGGGTGCTAGGTGGTGGGATTTAAAACTCATCAAAATTGAGGACGAGAATGCCCTGAAAGACAGAAGGGTGATGTTCGCTGATGGAGCACTAGCTATAGCCTTGAGAAAGTAATTTCTTATGAGTACTCTGCTATCAGAGAATTGCATCCAATTCCGAACCATTTTTTCGTCCTTGTCTGTTCAGATTGCAATTCATATTTATCCTTAGATTCGGAGATTTGGCTGGAACGTGCAATTGAAATGTGGATACTTGTTTCGATTTGTAATCATTACTTATGGCCATTTTTTTATACAGTCCTCGTTTGGCCCCATGATCATGCCAGGTTGACTGATGATGATATTCTAGTTTCCATTTTGACGTGACGCATAGATCTTAATGCATCCACGAATTTTCTTTTCCTTTTTAGTTGTTATTTGTCTGCATTTCGTTTTCGGCTCTGTTCACGTATCATATTCACTGTTTCTTAACCAGGCTGGTCGTGCGCTGGGGGATCTGAAGTCAGTGAAGGATCTGTATGATTTCAAGACACTAGTTGTTCTCTTCCTGATTGGTTTTATCATCATATTTCCTTCATTTTTGAAGAGAAAGCGTATCTATGAGTAAAAATTGGATGGCATAGCCGGCTTCATTCTATTGTCAAAGTCAAGTTTCGGGACCAAAACATTGAAGTACAAAGGATAATATGATTACTTAACACATCCATTAGGAAGGATATATGATGAAAATGTCGGCGTACCATTTTATTTTCTTTTGGGGTCGGTTAAATGAATTACTTAGCATGTAGCCTTGATGGCATCAGGAAGCATGCGGGGAGTGTTTGGCGAAGCTGTATCTCCAACAGCTTGACAGCATGCGGGATTCGATTTTTCAGCTGTACTATTATTTACTTGTTCAATCATTGATAGTAATTAAGTAAAGATTATATTATAGTAGATGAAGCTAATCATTATCAAGGTGAAAATGAAATCATTTTTCATTTGCGGGATGATGTTTATAATCTTGTAATTATTATTCCATATATATTTTTTAAAAGTAACAAATGAGGTTCATTTCTTGTTTTTCAAATTTGTTTTGTTTTGTTTTTTTATATATATTTTCCCTTGCGATTCTGTGCATAAGGTGTCATTTGATTCCAGTTTGATATCGTTCAACATGCGATTCTTAATTATTTCATTTTTATGGATATTGGTTTCATGGTCCTTAAGAAAACTTTAAGGGCCATATTTCCTGTATTTGAGTTTTTTTTTTTAATTTTTTTTGGTAAGGAATTTTTCAATCAGATCAGTTACTCTATTATATCGAAAACATTCAACTTCACAATATATTTAATTTAGTAAAGAAATGAAACTCATACAAAGTACAACAAAACACAATACAAGATATAGGCAGCTCAGAATCATGAAGCTATGAATAAAATAATAGAAAATTAAAAAATTAAAATAAAAAGTGACTTGTTTGTCTTCTACTTCGTGTTTCCTATATGTACAGCACGTCAGTTTGTTTAATGTGTGAATCAGGATGACTCATTTACTTGTTGGAAGGCATCTGCTATATTGAAGTTCAGATTGCCTCTTGTGGTTCTGCTGCTGCCAACCCCTCCATCCCCCCGCTTCATCATTGCTTTAAACTCCCCATAATCAATTCTCCCATCCTACAATATCAGCCGCACCATCTCAATATCCAACATTGAATTTCATATACTCTCAGTAGTAAGCTAGTCAGTCACAGATTCACATATAAATATACAACACCAACAAGCATTGATTCTAATAGAAAAGTTAACCATTAAGCCTCAAGTTGAGTTCATATGATAAAATCTAAATTAGTCAAAGTCTAATATGATTTTAGATACAAAATGATTTTCACCAAATAAATAAATACATAAGCAACCGATATTATAAAAGTATTTCTGAAATGTCTCTCAACTAATATTTAATAATTTCAAAGACAGTATTTCAAATAAAATTTTAGAAGAGTAAAAAATGTTTCAAATATTATCGGTTTCATTCGAATTTTCGAAAATAAAATCACAAGGAATGTTTGGATGATGGCTAACTTCTATTGAAGAAAAAGGGGGGGGGGCGGTGAAGTAAAAGAACACTGTTCAGTTTCATCAATATCCGCCAACGAGTTTGTTATGCCATAACTCTACAGCAAGAATGATAATGAACTAACGACAAAGATGGTAGCGAAACTAAACGAAGTTAACAATGATACCAGCAATTTTGGTGATGGTGCATAAAATGAGATTGGAAAAAATCATTTAGAAACTTACGTTGTCTAGATCAATCTCTGACATAACGTCTGGATTAACGTCACCTAAGCCAAACTCTTTACAAGCCTGTTGAAGCTCGTCAATGGTGATGTATCCACTACCGTCTTTGTCAAAATAGGAAAATGCTGCAACTAAATTCTCCTCTCTTTCCATCTTATTCATGTGCAGTGTGGCAGCAAGAAATTCACCATAGTCAATAGTTCCACTTTGGTCTATGTCAGCCTACGAAAATTCATGAGGGGAGCAAATAAGAGTCTCCAAACTCAACATGTATGGCAACAAGAACTATATAATCATTTGAAATATAAACCCCTAATGCACTGTAGAATATTTACCTACCGCATCCATTAGGGATTTAATTTCGGATTCCATTAGATCAGAACCAACTCTTCTGAGACCTTCTTTGAGTTCCTCAAAAGTTATTGTCCCACTGTTGTCTGTGTCAATCATCTTGAACAACTCTTTTAAACCTCCGATTTCTTCCTCCGAAAGTCTTTCAGCTATCACCTGCAAAGGGTTTTCATTTGCAATTCAATATTGCTTAATTTGGATCAGCATCTGATGAATAAGAACTGGACAGACGTAAATATCATTATACAGATTCATAGAAGGACACATGAACCGATGGACTGATATGTAGGTACAAAGGGACAACCATTTAAATAAATGATTTCGTACTCAGCAGCCCAGAAGTTGAATAAAGAGCAGCTATGTAAACTTCCAGTGAATTTATTTGTTATTATAGATGACCATGCGTGAGCGTCTATATATTCGATCAAATTCATTGAAATGAATATATATTAAGTTTAGTTTGAAGTGTTGTGTGGTATCTAACACAACTTTCGAATTTCTCTCTCATATGATATGTAAAGTATGGATGCTCCAGACATTGACTAGCCATAAGGAAAAGTTTTAAACAAGCAGAATTTTGACATCTTTTCAAGGCATCCTCCCATCTATCTTTCGAAAAGTAACTCTTAACGCATCAAATCCTACTACGACGATGAGAAAAAATGGTCAGTGGAAAGGATAAACTCTTGTATAATGCAGCAGCTACCATCAAAGATATTTAACATGTAATTTCAAGTTAAAAAGTATATGCGTTCATCGACACTATCAAGTATCAACTCTGTATAGAACATAAATAATAAGCAATTCAGCACTTTCTTGGGCACCGCACGAATTTATCACAACTCACACCAACACCTACATTTTGTTTACTCTCACCACAAGAATATATATAACATACCCGTAAAGCCAGCTTCTTCATTTTATTCATAGCTGAGAACTGTTTCAGACGGGACAAAACTGCGGAATCCAGAGGTTTGTCTGGGGCAACATCATCATCATTTATCCAAGGGTGACCTGATTAAACAAACCCCATCATGATGATATCATAATACCAAAGAAAAATGTAACAATACACAACTAGACAAGAATTGCCAGTTAAAAGTGGTATCAAGGATCTTACACAAGACTTCATGGGCGGATATTCTTTTCTTGGGGTCCTTCTCTAGCATTTTGCTCACCAAATCTTTAGCACTTTCTGATATGCTTGGCCATGGGTCAGATAGAAAATCTGGCTTTCCTTGTAAAATGTGTCTAAAAATGCCTGGTTCGGTTTCTGCAGGTGGTTGGAAAGTAAATGAAGCTGGGGGATAACGAACAGAACAAGAATATGAACGAACACCATAAAGAGGACAAAAGCTTCACAGCTTCAAATCCAAGGGAATCACAGATGAGTTTTAAAGAACGTTACCAGCCCAAAAAGGTGGGACCCCACTCAGCAAGATGTAAAGGATAACTCCAGCACTCCATACATCTGCTTCTGGTCCATAACGCTTGCACAAAATCTCGGGGGCAACATAGTAGGGGCTTCCAACTACATCGGAAAAGGTTTGTCCTGGAGAAAAAACAAGACTTAGAAAAGTTGATGGTGGTGGTGATAGGCCTACTGAACTTAATACTGACCAAGGAAAATAATTTTGTAAGTCTAAAATGTGAACAAATTATTGTGATGCACAGCAAATAGTTTAAGGGCAAAAATTTTACTCCTAACCATAGTATTTCTTAACGAAAGAAAGAGTACATTTTTCCTGAGAGTTCAAAGCTAGCGTTGCCAATCACAAGTCTCTATAATGAAGTGGAGACTTGTGATTGGCAAATTATTATTTCCTGGATCATTAAGGCAAGAAGTTCTATTAGCATTAACATCCACTCACATATACTCGATCATCAAAATCACTTGATTGAGTTTCATGGAACTTATCGAAGCACACAAGGGAAACAGCTTGCCTCTGTCATGGAAATTAGAAGGCTCGTTCATTTCATCAGTTACCTTGGTCCCTGTGAGAATTTGCACAATTTTAGCCTTCAAATCTCTGCTCCAACAAATCTTGTGCAATCACCGATGAATTTACTTAGAAGACCCAGTGGTCCCTGTTTTCTAGTCCTACAGGATGTTGTTTTTCCCTTAATTTGTTTAGGTCTGTTATTTTTAAGCCTTTGTAATTTGTTGTTTTTAGTTTGGTTCGGTCGTCTGTTGTATTTGTGAACTTCTTTGTATTTTCGTATGTTGTTGTTTGCCCATTAAAAAAACTAGTATCGCTTTTCAAGATTCCTTGTACTAGGTTCCTGTGTCCCAAAATGTAATGATTTCATTAGTTCTTTCATGGTGGTAAAAATCTCAACACACTCAATTACTTCTTTCTGATGTGATAATTAATAGGGAATGCAACACAGTTTAAAAAACGATCCAAGCAAAGCGAGTCGAATAAGAAAGTTGAACTATGTTACATGAATTCGAGGAGGGTAACAAAAAATAATAATTACGTGTTTTTGAAGAATTATCACAGACCAATATCCGACCAATTCAAAGAAATCCGTCAAACAAAGCAAAAGAATAAAGTCACGTCATTGAAAAGCCAAATTATTACAGCTCTACGTATAGCCTGCTGGTCTTTGAATCAACCGTCAACCAGCGTTTATACATCACAAAGGAAAACTAGTAGACAACACCTGCATGATTCATTTCAACAAGGATTTTTATTAAATTAGATTCAACCTAATGATAATTAATAAAATACTTTGTTAATGGCTAGTTGGATCACAGTTTGATTATAATTTTAATCATTAACTCTTAAATCAGTACTTTAATTAATTCAATCACTAATCCTATTTTTAGTACCTTTTAAAAAGTGAGATTTGATTATAAAATAAGTTACAAATTTTGATACAGTGAATAGGGAAATATAAGTAAACTGAACCTACGCAACAATACATGTCTTAAATACGATCTGTATATAACCAGCATTAAATTTTAAATGACAGGGATTGTGATGAATAAAAGACGGGAACGAAAGATCGGACATCCAGTTACCAACCTGGCCTATAAAAGGCAGAGAGGCCAAAATCCGTAGCCTTCATCTGAGCATCGTCACTAGAATTATCAAACAAGAAATTCTCAGGCTTGAGATCCCTGTGCATTACCCCAAGGGAGTGACAAGCTTCGACCACGCCAACAATGGTCCTTATCAACTTGACCGCCTCTCTCTCACTGTAATGCCCCTTCTGAATAATCCTGTCAAACAGCTCACCCCCAGCACACAGCTCCATAATCAGGTGCACAAACACAGCGTCCTCGTACGTCCCTTGTATCAGAACTACATTGGGATGCTCAGACAGATGATGCATGATCTGAATCTCCCTCCACACGTCATCGTAATCCTCCTTGCACAAGAGCTTCCGCTTGGGAATGGATTTACAGGCATATTGTTGGCCTGATACCTTGTGAGTACAGAGGTACGTTGTCCCAAATTGGCCTTGCCCGAGCTTCTTCCCCACAAGGTAATGGTCTCTGAGTCTAGGGGTCTCGTAAGGCAAGACCGACATGGTTTTCGTTGAAGAAGGTTTCTTCTCCATCTCCGTTCAACAATGGCGGAATTGGTGATTTGCTTGTTTTTCTCTCCCTACTGTGGCGATGTTATCAGGAATCAGTTGCTCGCATTTTCGTTTATTATTAGTCAAGAAATGGCAATGCCGTTTACTATTATTATCGTTGGGATCGGCATTGATTTCATGGTTCATTCATTGGATGAGAAGCCGCTGAATTCCACATTGGAGAAACACCCCAAGAAAGCATCGTCTTCTTCCTCCGCAAAAATGGAGCGCGCGCCTGCGCCACACAGGAAAATCACCCGAGAGAACCGCCCCAACGGGGCACCTCATTAAAATTAGTTTGGGCCCTTATTAATTTTAATGTTCAAAAGCTTCCCTTTTCTTTTCGCCAGAACAAAAGTTTCACCTTCTATTTGCTTAGTGTTAGGAGAAAATTATATTTGGCAGAATTTAGAATAAATAATTTAATTTAATTCAGTTAATAATTTATACTTTAAATTATTCAAGATATTGAAAATATAGAAACTTTGTTATACATTGAAGAAATATTTCTAGTTAGTATTGTTCTTTTCTTTGGGTTAAATTAGGGGCAACATTACCGCCCCATTGATTTCAGTCCTTACTAATTACACATTTCTCATCTCTATGATATTTTGTGTCCATTTTATTCATTTATATACTATGCGCAAATTTTTAGCTTGCGTTCGAAAAGATAAGTCTTGCTTCTGTCTGGCCGGTGAAAATTTTATGATTGATTTTTCTCCCCAATGAAATATATGTTCGATAGTTCTCAAAAAATGGAGAATTAAGTGTGTGTTTGGTTTTCAGTTTGTCAAAAATTTATTTGGTAAAAGTTCATTTGGTGAAAGTCAGTTCAGTAAAAGTCAGTTATTATAACGAAATTTATATTTGGATATATTTTTTTAAAAGTCAGTTTGATACATTAAAAGTTATTTGGTTTGTGATAGTGAAATATACTTTTGAATGTACAATTACCAAAAATGACATTGATTTATAATGATTTATAATCTTTATTATACAAATGTAATATATTTGAAATATTTAAAAAATGTAATAAAGATTTTAAATAATATAAATTTTGATTTATAATGCTAAAAATTTGATCTCTAGTTATTTATATTTTTTTAAATTTGTAATTTTAAAAGATGTAATAAAGATTTGTAATTTTTATTATACATTAATATTAAAAATTAATATGATTAATTATTTAATTTATAATACTAAAAAATTAATACCTAATTATTATTATTAAAATAATAATTATATTTTTAATGAATTAATTATTTTTTAAATAAAAGAATAAGATATTATATTTAGGGTAGTATGGTCAAATAACATTCTACTTTTCAAATTCACTTTTCAAAAGCTTTAAATAGTTACATTTTAGAAATTCACTTTCAGTTACTGTTTGAATGTACTTTCACAACATGCTTTCCTACAAAATATTCTACCTAAATAACTTTTAACTTTCTGAAAGTAAAATTTTACTTTTTAAATGTGAAACGAAAGAAAACTAAACGGATCCTAAGTTTTCTTCTCCTCTTCCAAATTTCAATTCAAAGGGATTGCATTCTCTTATATCTCATTGTTATTGTAATTTATGCGTATTTTTTAATTTTCAATAACCAGCTTATTTTTTTGCAATTTATTAGGAGAAGTGACATGCTTGACTATTCAAATGAAGTGAATATGATACGAATACTTCAATAAAATGAATTGATCATGGGTCATGATGGACAAATATTGACTCATAGGTCATCGAGAAAGTAAATTGCGCAATTATTATTATTATTAAAGAAAAATGGAGACAAGTGAAGAAAATACAAAACCAAGCACCGAACCGAGGCGGCCCGATCGTTCGTGCTTGCTCCAAGGTGTCGCCATCGGTCTTCTCCAGCAACGTGAACACTGAGACAGAGATCTGAAATCGGGAAGAAAGGCTCATCCAATTTCCCCATCCATCGGTATCCAGGAAGGGAAAGAAACACCAAACCGTGTAAATGTCGAGCGACAGCGATGATGAGGACGAGCTTCTCCAAATGGCTTTGAAGGAGCAAGCTCAACGAGATGTCAGTTATGGCAAATCTTCCGCTTCCTCCAATTCGCGCAAGCCTGTCGCTAACTACGTTCAGCCTCCGACCTCTCAGCACAGGAAGGCTGCACCTGTGGTGAATAGCAGTGGCGGGAGGCCGATGCAGAGCAAGGGTAGTAGTGGGGCTCGGAAAGTTGTGGATGATGACGATGATTCCGAAGTGGAGATGCTCAGCATATCTAGTGGGGATGAGGATTCTGCGAAGGATCGAAATGTGGGGTCGAGAAAACGAGGAGGTGCCTCCGGTGCTGCTGGTGGCAGAGCGGGAGCGCAGGATGATGATCGGGCCTGGGATGGTGGAGAGCCCGCTTGCTGGAAGCATGTTGACGAGGCCGAGGTATGCGATGATCCAGGTTTATATACGTGCTCAGTTGTTATTGGATGGAGTTTCCAGCTGTCAAGTGTTGAATTACGGATCATTTTATCATTCTTTCAGTGAATATCCATTTAATTTTGCGTGTTATGCTTCCTTTCTTGGTTTGAGATAAAGGTAGCAGTCGTTGAATTCGTTGGGAATAAATTGAAACAGTTAAGTAAGTTTTAGCTTATTAATATTGGATGAACTATTGATATCCATGATTTCTTGACTTATCTTAGACAACAATGATGTGAATGTGATTGTGTTGATTTTATTAGCTAACTTTCTCTTTGGCTGTTTCTCTGTGAATTGTGTTGTAAAAGTAGCAAACTGTAAAATGGATATGATATTTGTATCGTGCACTTGTTTATATGCTGATGTTGACCAATAAATGGCAGTCAAATAACAAATGTTGAGACAGTAATGCTTCAAAATGTTTTCATGTGGTTTTGTTGAGTATAGATGTCTTCTTGGGAGAAGCAAAATGAAATCTTGGTTTTGAACTCATGAATAGTATGAAATCGTTCATAGAGTCCAATCGTAGTACAATTATCATGCTAGAAGATAATTTTTTTTTTATAGCTTTCTCCTACTTTTTTGCTAGCTTAATAAAATGTGCATGTGCGTTTAATGTTTCTTATTTGACCCAAGAGATCAATTGTGTAATTTTAGCCTGATAAGAGTTTTAGAACCGCCAAAATTCAGTCTTCTGAGAAGATGAAAGCCACTCATAGGTTACAGTTTGTGACAGGTAATTTGTTTTTTCCCAGTGCCTAATGCACTTCGCAAAGCATAAGAACTCTTTTTTGGTTTACATACCCATTTGGATGCACGCTCTATGGTTAAGTTTTTCATTCGGACCATGAAAATGAATTAGAATGTTAAATGAAACAAATGATTAACTGTGGTACATTTTTACAAATAACACCCGTTAAATTAATTATAATTGATAGCTTCTTGAAATTGAAATTTCTGGAAATAATGAAGAGTACAATAGCAAAAGTATCCACTTGGAACCCCCCAAATTGGGAATGTTTGAGGGTTTTGGAAGATTTTGTTGAATGTTGATTATCTTGTTATTAGCTGTTTCCCCATTTCTGTTCTGGGTTTTCTTTTTTCTGTTTTCAGTGTCTTTCGCTTTACTTCTTCATTCTGAGGTCCTTTCAAGATGAAAAATTTTCTATTGTTCCTGTTATGTTATTCAACTAATGGGCTATGCCCTTTTCCTTTATGACCTAATTTAATCACTCAATGAAAGTTTAGGTATGAAAATGCTGTACTCTGATGCATTTGCTTTGTAAAATCAGCATTGAAATTTGAAAACCACCTTTTTTCTCCTCTCTTTATAAAAAGACAAACAAGCGGAAGGTACTTTCCCTCCCTTATCTTTTAGGCCCATCCTATATCTTTCTTGTCATGTGAGTGTCTCTTGTTTGTTGTGCTATGTGGACTGTTATTTACTTACTGTATGATTATATCTTGTTTTCAGATGTTTTTCCCTGTGCTTGTTATTAATATTTCTTTCTGTTTAATTTAATGTAGTTGGGCTTCTTTGACAGCTTGCTCGTAGGGTTCGTGGAATGAGAGAATCAAGAACAGCACCAGTGGCTCAAAAATATGAGCGTAAAGTTTCAGCAAAGGGTAGAAAGGGACTTAACAACTTGCAGTCATTTCCTCGTGGCATGGAATGTGTTGATCCACTGGGATTGGGGTAAATTCATTTTGTGGATTTTCATTTCTAGCAGAGACAGTGTTTTTACTATTTATCATGTTACCCTTTGATTTGCAGTGTTCCACTTCCATTATTTTCCATGTTACTGAAATTTTCAGAGTCCAATCATTGTGCTTAACTGTTACCAACAGGATCATAGACAACAGAACCTTAAAGTTGATCACGGAGTCTTCAGATGATTCTCCAATGAATAACAAAGATCATCTGGATAGCACCCTACGTGGTATTCTTTTTCGTTATTAAATGTTATGTGGCATTTTTAATTTTTGAAGTAGATTCTTTGTGGTGTTTTCTTTCATTTCCCATGCATATATAATTTTTTTGCAAATAATGTCTGTTGTGACATGTGACTAGGAAGAAATTAGTGTCCATACCATAAATTCAGTCAAGAAGGAATAATGAGACGTTCATTTGCCTCATTATTGCATGATCTATAGGAAGTCAGGTTATTTATAATCATGAATAGTGTGGCTTGCCTCAAACTCTTTGTGAAGCTTAGGACCTGCAATCTAGTTTAAAAAACTGAGTAAAGTTGCTGTTCTAGGGATGTGTGCTGAAAACTATTTGGCAACTAAAGCTAGGCTTTTTACTTGGTTCTAGTGTGTCTAAGTTCACTATAGAAGGGAAACGTTTGTTATTTAGATTGGCCAAAGAACTTGTGTCCGTTCACATGGTTGATAGTATTTTGATGCCACAACACAGAGAAGTTGATGTATTTTTCGGAGAACTTTGATGCAAAGCTGTTTTTATCACGGATACACCAAGAAACATCTGCTGCTGATCTGGAGGCTGGTGCACTTGCATTGAAAACTGATTTCAAAAGTCGTACTCAACAGAGAAAGCAGCTTGTTAAGGACAACTTTGACTGCTTTGTCTCTTGCAAAACCACAATTGATGGTACGGACTTGACCGTTGCATGTTATTCAACTTATCATAGAAGCAAGCTGTTATTCATAGATTAGACAACAGGTAGCTCTGTCACCCTCAAGTTTTTTGGTCCCTCCTCAGATGACCATGGATATGAGTAAAATCTAAATTTAGTATTGGTGGCACTAGCATTATCTTGGAGTGTTCCTTCATTTTAAGTTGAAACTTATTTTTCTCTTATGCAGATATTGAGTCTAAGTTGAAACGGATTGAGGAAGATCCAGAAGGGTCTGGGACTACCCATTTGTTTAATATTATTCAAGGGGTTAGTGTGCAGGCTAATCGTGCTTTCCAGTCTTTATTTGAAAGACAGGTATGTGATTTCTAAATTCTAAATTGTTCTGTAGCTCTCATTCTAGAATGTAAAGTACTTTTTATATTTGTCCTTGCTGAATTTTGTAGGCTCAAGCAGAAAAGATTAGGACTGTCCAAGGAATGCTACAGAGGTTTCGGACCCTTTTCAACTTGCCAAGTACAATTCGTGGTAGCATCAGTAAGGGAGAATATGATTTGGCGGTTAGGGAGTACAAGAAGGCCAAATCAATCGCCCTACCATCTCATGTATAAAATTATCTTCTATTTTGTGTATTAAGGTTCTTTTCCTCTTAAGCAATGAGTGTTATTGTCTTGGACAAATCACATTCTTATGTAGTTCTTTCTACTAATGATTTAAAAATCGGGCTGATCCCCTAGAGTAGCTTAGGCAAATGTTTATGTTTCAATGGTTTGATCTTGGTCAAATCGTTTTTCTTTTTAAACTATATATTTGATTAAATTTCTACCAAATGTATATGCATAATAATAACAAGAAGCTACTTTGAGAAAAATAAAAAATTCTAAATTTTGAAATTTTATTTGTTGCTTAAAAATTTGTTAAGAGACTGTTGATGATGTAAAGTTCTTTTTGTTAGTTTTGTATTGCTCACCTATATACTAGTAATAAACGCTAATTTTCTTTGAAATAATGTTTCATGAAGAAGAATATTTGATATTTTTTATTTTCTTTTTGATGTGAAAGATTGTGTACAAGTGTATTGTCTGTCGATGTTATTGTTGTTAATGTTAGTATTTGGAGTGCTTTCGGTTTTAGAAGCTCTTTTTTTTGGATTACTCATCTGCTAAAATTTGCCTAGTGGTGCTGGTTCTCCTATTCTCCAAGCAATTACTGGGGCATATTAAGCATGTGGATATCCTCGATTATTGTATTGTTTGCTTTTCATGTTCTTGATGAAGTTTGTTTATTGTTATGATTCAGATTCAGGTGGGGATCCTGAAACGTGTTCTTGAAGAGGTTGAGAAAGTGATGCATGATTTCAAATCTACGCTTTACAAGTCTATGGAAGATCCGCAAATAGATATAACAAATGTAAGTTTGCTGGCTAAAAATAATTTGGCCTTTAAGAGAGGCTGTATTTCAAATTATATGTCAATATGTGAATGTAAAATTATTTCCTCTAATGATGACTGATGATTTTGTTAGTAATACTGCATCCTTTCAAGCATTTTGCATAGTGTTGCATGTGGACTGTTTACTGAAGCTAAGTTATTAAATGGGATTAAAAAGGAAGGCACAAACGAAGGGGGGAGCTAATGAATTTTCACACAATGCTTTCTTCTTGACATAGCATTTTTCCAATTGCCCCCTCGACTATATTCTGGTGAGCCTAAGTTTTGGTTTCAAGAGAAGTAGGGATTTAGGCAAGATGATCCCTTTTCTCCTTTCCCCTTTACACTAGTGGTTAGTGTGCTTGGTAGAATTCTTTTTAAGGCTGTTGAGGGAGGTATTTGCTTACTCCATTATGAGCAATTATGTCTGGTCAGTTTGTTGTCTATGATGCTCATTGGTGAGTTTTCAGACATCCATTGGATTATTTGAGATGCCGTCTCAGCAGGTGCTTTGACCTTGTTCTTGTTCAAGGTTAAGCAGAGGTATGTATTTTAGCAAGCAAGGCTCTGATATTATGAGACAAAATCATAAATCATGCTTTGAAGTTGGGATTGTATTTGAATAACAACGGAGCCATACATGTATAGGACTCATGGCAGTGTGATTGTCATTGAGTTTCTTAACGTAGGGCATCCAAAAGAGGAAAGGAAGTATATACAATAAAGGTTGATAAAGAAATGGGAAAAATAGATACAAAATGCTGTAAAGTGCTGACAATTTAAAGCAGCAACAACAACAACAACAACAAGCCTTTATCCCACTAGGTGGGGTCAACTACATGGATTGTAAGATGCCATTGTGCTCTATCGTTTATCAAGCTTTTAGGAATATTATTAATTAAGAGATCGCGTTCAACAACTTCCAAGAGTGTTCTCTTAGGGCTTCCTCTACCTCTCTTAATCGGACTCAAAGTTATATGTTCCACTCTTCTCACTGGTGCCTCCCTTAGTCTTTGTTGTACATGCCCAAACCATCTCAACCGATTTTCTACGATTTTTTCCTCAATAGGTGCCACCCTCACTTTTTCGCGTATGTGCTCATTTCGAATTTTATCTTTACGTGTATGTCCACACATCCATCGTAACATTCTCATCTCTGCTACTCCAACTTTATGCTCTTGCTGTCCCGTTAGAGCCCAGTATTCACTACTATATAACATTGCCGGTCTGATAGCAGTGCGATAAAACTTTCCTTTAAGTTTATTAGGCACCTTACGGTCACAAATAACTCCTTTAGCTTTTCTCCAATTAAACCATCCAGCTTGAATTCTATGTGAAATATCTCCACTGATTTCGCCATCATTTTGAATAATGGCTCCCAAATATCTAAACTTTTTACCTGAGGTATAATTTGATCTCCCAATTTCACTTCCAAATTATTGTCGAATAGTCCTTTACCAAATTTACAATATAAATATTCCGTCTTACTTCTACTCAGACGAAAACCTTTCGACTCCAATGTCCTCCTCCATAACTCAAGTTTGCAATTAACCTCTTCTCTTGTCTCTGCTATAAGAACTATATCATCCGCAAAGAGCATACATTTCGGGATTTTCTCTTGAATATGTTCTGTCAAAACATTTAAAATTAAGTTGAACAAATAAGGACTCAGAGATGATCCCTGATGTAGTTCAATCTTTATAGGAAAATCCTTTGTTTGACCACTAGGCGTTCTTATACTAGTTTTTACCCCCTCATACATATCTTGTATGGCTTTAATATAAGCAATCTGTACTCCTTTTTTTCCAACGCTTTTTAAAGCACTTCTCTTGGTATACGGTCATAAGCCTTTTCCAAATCAATAAAAACCATGTGTAATCTTTACAATACAAAACACTATGGGGTCGGCTACAGATTGCAAGACGCCATTGTGCTCTATCTTTACAACGATACTTTTCCATTAATCTCCTTAGTAGATAAATAGCCTCTGTAGTTGATCTACCTGGCATAAAACCAAATTGATTCTCAGAAATACTTGTCTCCAATCTCAACCTGTGCTCAATTACTTTCTCCCACAATTTCATTGTGTGGCTCATGAGTTTAATCCCTCTATAGTTAGTATAATTCTGAATATCTCCTTTATTTTTATAAATAGGAATTAATGTACTTCTCCTCCACTCATCAGGCATTTTCTTGGACCGTAAAATCACATTAAATAACTTAGTTAACTATCTCACCCCTTCTTCACCTAAACATTGCCACGCTTGATAGATATACAATCAGGTCCGTTGGCTTTACCATTTGCCATTTTCTTAAGAGCTTCCTTTACCTCCTTATCACGTATTATTCGATAGAATGACAAATTTTGTTCTCCTTCACCAGTTACTAAATCCTCCAAGTTACTAGATGAATCCTCTCCATCATTGAAAAGTTTAGAAAAGTAAGTCTTCCATCTATTTTTAATTTCATCATCTGTAACTAAAATTCTTCCCTCTTCATCCTTAATACACCTTACCTGTTCTAGATCTCTTGATTTTCTTTCCCTACTCTTGGCAATCTTATAAATATTTTGCTCTCCTTCCTTCGTCTCAAGCTTCTTATAAAATTCTTCAAAAGCTTTAGAACGAGCTTCACCCACAGCTCTCTTAGTTTCTTTCTTAGCCATACGGTACCTCTCCCAATTTTCCTCATTGTTACACAAATGTATGGCTTTAAAACAGTTCTTCTTATACTTGATTTTGTCCTGTACACTATTATTCCACCACTAAGACTCCTTATCTCTTAGACCAGAACCTTTCGATTCTCCCAAAACTACTTTTGCAACCTCCGTATCTTTTTAGCCATATCCTCCATATAATGTTAGCACTTCCCTGAGATTCCCAAATTCCTTTATCAAAAGATTTCGCTTGAAAATATCTTGCTTCTCACCTTTTAATTGCCACCACCTAATCCTTGGTGTTACTACTTGTCGACGTTTTTGGATTTTACTCATAATACACACATCAAGGACTAAGACCCTATGTTGTGTCGTTACAGCATCTCCGGGGATCACCTTACAATTTTTACAAAGTCTTCTATCTGTGTTCCTAACCAAAAGAAAATCAATCTGTGACCTTGAGGCTCCACTTTTGTAAGTGATGAGATGCTCATCTCTCTTTTTGAAACAAGTTTGGCAATCTTAAAATCATACGCCAATGAGAAATCAAGAAGAGTTTGTCCTTCATTGTTTAGCTCTCCAAAACCAAAACCACCATGCACCCTCGCATACTGACCAGCTTCCCTCCCGACATGCCCATTAAAGTCTCCTCCAATAAAAATCTTTTCATTCTGTGGTATGTGTCGAATCAACCCCTCCAGATCCTCCCAAAATAATTTCTTAAGACTGGCTTCTGTCCCGACTTGTGGCGCATAAGCGCTAACAATATTAACAGTCTCACGTCCAATTATCATTTTTAAGGAAATAATTCTGTCTCCAATTCTGCTAACTTCTACAACGTTCTTCTTCCACTCCTTATCTATAATGATGCCTACTCCATTGCGAGCACTTACTTTCCCTGTATACCAAAGTTTGAAACCTTGAATATCCTTAGCTTCTTCTCCACGTCATTTTGTTTCTTGCAGGCAAAGGATATTGATTTTTCTTTGAATCATAACCCCTACAACCTCTACAGATTTACAATTTAATGTCCCAACATTCCAAGTACCAAATCTAATTTTGCTCTTATGGACTAACTTCTTTAGCCGCGTGCGTCCAGAATGACGCAGTAGCCCTTGCTCATTTAACACTACATCCGGGCGCCGATGCAGCGGCTCTAACTCACTTATCACTGTACTCGAGCCATGCAGCGCGTTACTTACGGGCAACGACCTAGCATTAACATTAACATTGACAATTTAAAGCAACGAAGAAAGGAAATTAATCATCAGAAAAAGAGGTAGTCTGATTCTGATGACCATCGCTGTATTGTATACAAGTGAAAGTAAGTCCCATGGATCCAATGACAAAATGTTCCAATAATATGCTTGGGATTTTCAGGTGACATCAGTTCCTGGATTAGTGGCTTGCAGCAGCAAAGAACACTGACAAAATCTTGATTAATGATGTAACTTTCCCTATCAAGGGCTCCAAGATGGGACCCCTTTTGGAAGTTGACTGGTTTGAAATATGTTAGTGAACTTGCTCTCTGCATGTTTTTATTGTGGGTTCTTATCACATCACAGTGTACTGTATTGTAGAAATTTAAGGTTGATGATTTTGAGCTTGTTCTATTAGCTTGAAGCTATGTTAAACATGCAGATGGCACAGAAGGAACTAGAAAGACAGCCTGGTGCCAATCTGTTAGGTGCATGGAGAAAGTATTGGGAAGGTAGTCAACACTGTTAGTAGTTAGTGATAAGCAGAATGGTCATTACATTCTGTTATATTGGTTAGTTAGAGTCTTAATTAACTAATCTATATAACTTGTAATTAGTCTAAGGAAACAGTTATGCTAGCTGGTTGGAGATTCTAATTATTCTATCTTTCTCCTCCTCATTGTTACTCGTCCTACCTTCTTATGGGTACTTAAGTAGGATGGGAAATCTTGTCCAAAAGCTAGCTATTGAAGTGAGAGAATTAATTTACTTAACTGTCCCATTGAGCATTCCACATTACTTAATGCGGGATTTAGTATTCCATATTAACAAGTCTCTATCAATTGGCTCCCTCAGAAAGCCAATGTCCTAATGACTTGGCTTTAATACCAATTGGTTGGTGCCTAAGTGGGATAGGGAACCCCACCCCAAAAGCTTGCTATTGAGGTGGGAGAACTAACCCACTTAGATATCCCATTAAGCATCCTACACTACTCAATGTGGGACTTACTATCTGATACTGCCCAGTTTCCATCACCCTGTCTTTTCTTTATATTGTCAGGTGATATAAAAATGACCTGTTTTTGGACCATGGTTGAAGTCAATTTTTACCTGAGGGTTTGAGTCAGATATGGATTTCTATGTATTTATTACATACCAAATGAGAATATGATCATATGGAGCATTTAAATATTTATTCTTTTGCCTATCATTTCGTTTTTTGCAATTTGCATATATATGTGTGCATGTAAAAACCAATGGTCGGCACAGCATAGAGGACCTGTGAACTGGTGATAGTGATTTTATATTGCTAATTTGATGATCAAAGTTGTTGATGGGTTGTAAACTTCCAGTTTTTTTTTAACTATATTCAGAGGTGAATCTTGCTGAAACTTTTTGTGCAGCTTGAGAATACTGTCAGGTTACTGGTGGAGCTTGAACCTGAGTCAGATCCAGTGTGGCATTATTTGAATATACAGGTTTGGTAGTTTGAATTTTCTGTCAATTAGTGATTATATTTACTGGTGCAGGTTTCAGTTGCATGCTAAACAGTACCAGCTACAATGAATAAACAGATTATCTATGTAGTGTGGTGCTGTTGGTGGTGTTGTTGAGGACATTAGTGGAGATTACTCTCTTACTGATTCTTATTTTATTTTTTTTTCCTGTCCCCTTATAATAGAAACATATGTTTCCCTTCTGAAATAACTGGTTTAGAAAATTAATTAACAGTAGGTAGAGCGTGCTTCATCATTCCAAATATCTTTTTGATTTTATATTTGAAGGAGAAATTTCTAAATCTATTAAATATGTTTTTTCTTTGGCAGAACCAAAGAATTCGTGGTTTGCTTGAAAAATGTACTCTAGACCATGAAGCTAGGATGGAAATTTTGCATAATGAGTTGCGGGAAAGAGCTCTTTCTGATGCCAGATGGAGGCAGATTCAAGAAGAATTAAGTCAATCTGTATGTGCAATTGATAGAAGTCACTTGTTTTATGATGTTTGCAAGCTGGATTCTAATCTAGTATCAACCTTTTCTTTTTAATATTATTTTTATGACTGTCGTCAGTCAGATATTAGTGACTATTCAAGTCTGGCCAATACCCATCCTTTAGTCCAATCACATCCAGTAGATTTAACTGGTGAAGAAGTTGATGCTTTTAGAGGGAGGTATATACGCAGATTAACTGCTGTTATCATCCATCACATACCAACCTTTTGGAAGGTTGCTCTTTCTGTCTTCAGTGGAAAATTTGCAAAGGTATTATGAATATTTTCTTTTGTCAAAGTATATATGTGAATCATGCATTGTTATATAGTAGTTTTAAATAAACGCATGATTGACTTTGCATCTAATGTTATCTAGACTCTACTACCTGGCGATATTTTTCCGTCATATTTCAATCCTATTTATTTCAGCTTGTCCTAGATATTTACATCTGTTGTAATTACTTTTTGGTCTCTTTTCTATTTTCCAGTCTTCACAGGTTCCATCCGAATCAACTACCAATAGTTTAGCAAATAAGACTGAAGAAAAAGTTGGTGATATGAAATATTCAAGTCATTCTCTTGATGAAGTAGCAGCAATGATATGCAGTACTATATCACTCTATGGAGTCAAGGTAATTGCACTCTCTTGACCAATGTTTTTAGAATTGGACCGGATATTAAACCGGAAATGCCAACGGTTTACGGTTCGCATGGTCTAATGGTCGAACCAGTGATGTGATAATTAAATTAAAAAAACTATATATGTGTATAATAATTTAAATATAAGAAATAAATATGAAATTGCTATTTAACTTAAAAATAAAACCAAATATTTTAAATTTATCATAACTTAACAAGCCATATGGTACAACATGACATAAAATGATTAAAAAAAAATTGATAATTTTTTTAAACAGAAAAAGGGTATTTTTTGAATAGTTTGGTTTTAAAAAACCAAATCCGATTCCTGGCTTGATCCTAGTTCCTGGTCCGACCGCCAGTCCAAAGCGGCCTAATTTAGCCCAACTCTCCAAAGGGTTTTTTTGGCTTCGTTAGCCTGACCAATCGAAAGTCCAATTGTTCAGTTCGGTCCAGTTTTTAAATAACTACTCTTGACCCTTTTGTTCCCCTTTATAAAACAATACACAGTCTTATAAGGTTTCTTTGATCTTGTCACTTATTTAGTCTTCTGATTGAATTTCAATTGTTTGTTGTCCCCTTTAAAAATTTGTTGAACTTTGTGGTTTTTCCATAGTGGGCTTGAAATACTTGAAGTGTTATTACTGGCATAATATAGCTGAACCTTTTCTAATGGCTTGATAATAGCCTGTATTTGAATTTAAAAGAGGTAAGTAACTGTTCCCAATTGAATGGCCATTTGAGAAACTTATCTCAATGTTGTCATTCTTACCATTCTTTGGGAAAGAATTACGCTCATGGCCTCCTTATGGGTTTCAGTATTTGTTTTTTTGGGAGGGGGAGTTGTTTTTTATCTCATGCGTCTTGGTTGATCTCTTGCATTATTTATGCATTATTTTCTATGTTTTTTAAAAATAAAAATCTTGTGTTTTAAAAAAAAAATTATATTTGCAAAAATTCCGGCCATTTAGATTGTTGGTCATCACATGATGTTTGGTTTGTTTGACAAATAAAATGCAAATTGTGTTCTCTTTGAAAGTAGAGAGAGAATATTGCGGTGCAAATTCTAATATCTTTTAGTGGAAAGTGGGCTTATGGGTCCTAGGCCCATTAGCTAAGTTGACCTAACCTTAGACTTGTTCTAATTTTATCTCTCTAATATTTTAGTTATGATTATATTTTCTATGGATACTAGGGATTAGATTTTATTCTCTTTCGATATGATATTATCATATCTTTCTTGTACTTTGAGTTGTTTCATCTCTGAATAATATTCAAGCTATTCCTCACAAACACTATGGCAACCGAGCCGCCTTCGGCCTGTGCCTGACATTCATCACTGATGCGACCTCGTGTATATCTTTGCTCCAGTCATGCAAGTTTTTGTTCTTCGCGTGCATCTCTGCCTTTGCTTTAGTTGTGACTTACAACTCTTGTCTCTGCCTCTTTACTTCAGACGTGTCTTTCATCTTGGTTTAGTCGCAATTTCATCTTTTGGGTCTAGCTGCTGAATTGCATCCTCTTCACTTGTTCATTAGGGCATCCTTTCTTTGCATTCTCTGTTTTAGTCGCTGTTTCTGTGCGCTCCTCTGTGCTTTGTTGTCATGGCTTATGAGGCAGTGTTGAGTGGGACTCCACGGGCCTTTGATATGAATGGGGAACCCCTAAATCCCTCTGCTCAACACGGCAGTGGCAATATTCTTTCCTCAGGTGGTGGTAGTAATAGTGATTCACCTTTTCATCTACTTCTCACCTATTGGTTGAATGGGAATAATTACTTGCAGTGGTCAAGGAGTGTCCTTATGTTTGTTTGTGGTCGGAATAAGGAACGTTATTTGGCTGGTTCCCTGAGAGCACAAGAAGTTAGTGACCCCAAGTATGAAACTTGGTGTGCAAAAAACAATATGGTGATGACTTGGTTGATTCATTCAATGAACCTTGAGATAAGTGAAAATTTTTTACTTGCCAACATAGTCTAGGAAATTTGGGAGTTTGATCAGCGTATTTACTCTGTGAAGGAAAATACAATAGCTATCTATCAAGCAAAATGTACTCTTTGAACTCTTACACCGGGGGAGAAATCTGTCACTTTGTATTACACAACTCTTATGCATCTCTAGCAACATATAGACCTATACGAGGTGCATCAATGTGAGCGATGTTCTTATTACACAATTACACAATTCTTATCAGGCTGATGCTCTTTACTACTACAAGACTATGGTTGAATGTGAGCGATGCTATGAATTTCTTCTTGGCCTCAGTGACTCCTATGAGGATCTTTGAGGAAGAATTATGGGCATGAAACCTCTATCTTCTCTTGAAGATACATTTAATATGATTGAATATGAAGAAAGTCGCAAGGCCTTGGTATAGCTGCATTCTTCTACCCCTCTTGGCATTGAAACTTCTACCATGGTGACTCGTGGTCATCAAAAGAGGGATCATAGAAGGAAAAAGTCTCTTTGGTGTGATCATTGTAATAAAAATGGTCATACTTGAGAAACCTGTTGGCAGATTCATGGCAAGCCATCTCATTTAAAGCCCAACCTTAAGGGTGATAACAAGGGTGAACACAAAGGTGATAGCAAAAGGTTCACAGCCAACTCAACTTCTGATCATGTACTCAACACTGAGGAAATTGCTATGAAGAAACGCATACTAGGAAAATACTTTCGAGATGAGACAAGTGAGAAACCTACTCCCTTGGTTACCTTGGCCCATGTTGGTAAGACTTGAGATGAGACAAGTGAGAAACCCACTCCCTCGGTTACCTTGGCCCATGCTGGTAAGACTTGAGATGAGACAAGTGAGAAACCCACTCCCTTGGTTACCTTGGCCCATGTTGGTATGACTTTATTAAGTGCACTTAGTGCTATTTCTCACTATAACATCTAGATGGTTGATTTTGGGGCAACAGACCACATTATAGGCTTTTTGGAATTATTTTCTGAGTTTAGCCCTCATTCTAAGCATGCTCGCATAGAAGTTACCAATAACACATATGCTCGGGTGATGGGAACAGGCATCGTTGTTATCTTCAACTCTATTGTTTTGAAGAATGTCTTGTTTGTTCTTGATACACGATAAGTTTGTTATCAATCACATGTATCACCCACCACTTATCTTGCCTTCCCACCTTTGACAAATCTTCTTGGGTTTTTTAGGATTTAACCTTGGGGAGGATGATTGGCAATGCTAAGAAATGCAATGGGCTCTAATATCTTGAAGACGAATTTGCTAATAAATGTTGTTTAGTTGATCTTGTTTCTAATTTTGTATCTATTTTTTTCTATTATGTCTCAAGAAGACATTATGTTATGGCATTCTCATTTGGATCATCCCAGTTTTGATTATATGAAAGTTTTGTTTCCCAACTCTTTGAATAAAATTAAATTTCATTGTGATACCTGCCAATTTGCTCAACTAACTCACAATCCTTTCCTGGCCAACTCTTTACTCCCTCTACTCCTTTTTCTCTCATACATAGTGATGTGTGAGGTCCTTTATAGATTGAAACTCACAATAAAGCTAGGTGATTTGTTGCTTTTATTGATGACCATACTCGATTGATGTGGATTTTTCATGATGCCGGTAGCAAACTTGAATCTGAGTCTATCAAATGCATTTTTTTAGGGTATTCATCTACCAAAAAGGGGAATAAGTGTTATTCTCCTAACTCTCACAAATTTTATGTCACTACAAATGTCACTTTTGTTGAATCACTACCTTTCTTTCCTAAATTATCCATTTTGAGGGGTGAATAATAGTGAATAGCTAATTTTTGCCATTAATAATGGCCATTCAAATGAAAAACATACTGGCCTTAGTGTGAACCCTCATACATCTCTATATCCTTTCTCCATTGATTCTAGTTCCATATCTATCCCTGAACCTGATGCACCTATCCCAGATCTTGACTCTGGTTCCATACCTATCCTTGATCTTCAACCATCTATCCTAGATCTTGACTTTAGTTCCATACCTATCCTAGATCTTGAGCCATTCTTGGATGAATTAGGGATAGATCAATTTGAACAGCACACAAACAATGTTGATCCCATTGTCGCTCCAAGGCAAAGTCATGATTCTCAAACTGAGGGTAATCCTGAAGACCTTCAGTAGCCTATTGCTTTTAGAAAAGGCAAGAAGAGCTGTACTAGACACTCTATCAACTGGTATGTTTCCTATGACAAATTCAATTCTCAATTTAAGAACTTTATTGCTGCTGGTGATAGTGAGAATATACCTAAGACTTTTGAGGAAGCCATCGTTGCCCCTAAATGGAAGGTGGCTATTGATAAAGAGCTAAAAGCTCTAAATAAAATTCAAACATGGGAGATTGTGGAGTTGCCTCAGGGAAAGTCAGTTGTAGGGAGTAAATGGGTTCTTTCAAAGAAGTATAATCCTGATGGTAGTCTCAATAAACATAAGGCTCAATTAGTTGCCAATGGCTTTGCCCAAACCTTTGGCATTGACTACCAAAAAACTTTTGCACTAGTGACGAAATTTAATGCCATAAATATTCTGTTGTCTCTTATTGCTAATTTAGATTGGCTATTATTTCAATTAGATGTCAAGAATGCCTTCTTAAATGGAGGCTTGGAAGAGGAGGTGTATATGGAGATCCCATTGGGACTAAGAGGTTCGGATAATGAAGGTAAAGTATGTAGATTGCACAAGTCACTAAATGGCTTAAAACAGTCACCCAAGGCTTGGTTTGAGAGGTTTACCCGTGTTGTAAAGGGATTTGGCTATATTCAATGTCAGGATGATCATACACTATTTGTAAGACAGTTTAGTTAGAAAATAACTGTCCTAATTGTGTATGTGGATGACATAGTATTGACAAGAAATGATGTAGAAGAGATCTTGGAGCTAAAAGAATGTCTGGCTAAAGAACTTGAGATTTAAGACCTTGGAAATCTAAGATAATTTTTTGGGCTTAGATGTTGCTTGCTCATCAAAAGGTATTGATGTATCACAAAAAATACACCCCGGATACTTAAGGAAACTGGGATGTTGGGAGCAAGATCTGCGGATACTCCAATGGAACTGAATTGCAATTTGGAGTGAAAGTTGACGGAAAGATAGTGAATAAAGAAAAGTATCAGAAATTGGTGGGAAAACTCATATTTATTTGACACATGGCCTAACATACCTTTTGCAATAGGAGTTGTGAGCTAGTTTACAAGCAGCCCTAAAAAGGCTCACATGGAAGCTATATACAAGATCCTTAGATATCTAAAACCCACACTTGGAAAGGGTTTATTCTTCTCAAAGGGGAATAAGAAGAGTATAGAAATCTATACAGATGGCAATAAGAGAACTCCAGGATCAGAAAGTCTAACAGATGTAGAAATCTACACTAATGCAGTTTGGGCAAGAGCTATCTATGATAGGTGTTCCATCGCAAGCTATTGCACCTTTGTGTAGAATAACCCGGTGACTTGGACAAGCAAGAAATAACCAGTTGTTTCTAGAAGCTCGACAGAAGCTGAATTTGGAATATTAGCTCTTGGAATTTGTGAAGGCATTAGGGTTGTACAACAATTGAAGGAACTTGGTGTAGAAATGAAAGCTCCTATAAAAATGTGGTGTGATAGTATGGCAGCTCTAAAGATTGCAAACAATCCTGTTCAACATTATCGTACTAAGCATGTCAAGATTGATAGACATTTCATCAAAGAAAAAATTGAAGCTAAAATCATAGATTTGACATGTATTCCCTCAGGAAACCAAGTTGCAAATATGATGACCAAGCCTTGTGTTAAAGTCAAGTTTGCAGAGATGATAAGCAAGCTGGGAATGATCAATATTTGTTCACCAACTTGAGGGGGAGTGTGGAAAGTGGGCTTATGGGTCCTAGGCCCATTAGCTAACTTGACCTAACCCTAGACTTATTCTAATTTTATCTTTCTAATACTTTAATTGTGATTATATTTTCTGCAGATACTAGATATTAGATTTTATTCTCTCTTGATGTGATATTATCATATCATTCTTGTACTTTATAAGTTGCTTCATCTCTGAATAATATTCTAGCTATTCCTCACAAACACCACTTATTCCTTCAAAGATGCTGATACATATAGGAGAAGAGGAGCGGGTGAAATCCCCTAAAATCCTCCCTCAATTAACAACAAAATAATTGGAAAACTAAAGAGAGATATTTTGTAATTATTTTAAATAATTACAGAATATTACAGACAGTAAAACACAGATATAGTAAGATACTAGGGTTAGGGTTACAAGGCAAATGGGCCTAGCTAACATTAGCCCACTTTCAACACTTTTTTTTCCTATCTATAGCAGTAGTGTTTTGCATATGTAGATATTTCCTGAAAGTCTATCATTGGTGCAGGTTACCAACATCTTTGGTGATCTCGAAGAATCAAACATCCTCCGGTCATACATGAGTGATGCCATAGAAGACATATTGAAGGCATGCCTAGCTTTTGAAGTGAAAGAAGCTGCTCCTTCTATTGCAGGTATCAACTCTTTTAATCTGAAAATAATTTACATGTCAAGATCTGAGTGCTTGTATATTTTGTCTTTTCATTCAGTTACTGCTCTCAGAGCACTTCATTCGGAGATTATGAGGATTTACATTCTAAGGCTTTGCTCCTGGATGCGAGCTTCAGCTGCACAAATTTCAAAAGATGATACGTGGGTTACTGTATCAATTCTTGAAAGGAACAAATCCCCATATGCAATCTCATATTTGCCTTTAGCATTCCGTTCTGTGGTGGCTTCAGCAATGGGCCTAATCAATTCGTAAGTCTAGATATCATTCTGTAGGAGTTGGAAGGGTTTTGTGAATAAAAATTGCACGATTTTGATATTTCACATCTATCAATCTTGTGTGGATGCCCAAAACCTGCTTCATATTTAGTTTGTCTCTTAGCTCTGATTTTCTTTGTAGACCATGAATGTTTTTTTTTTCCCCGGTGGGGGAGGGGTTTGAGATGCTTTGACAAAGAGGATGCTATAGGCAAAGTCGGGTGGATTGTGGAAGCTATTAGGTGCCAAGATTTAGAATTTCAAACTTGTAGTTTGATGGAACCTTCAGCACTGATTTTATTTCTATGACGTTTAAGCTGTAATAACCCCTCTGAAGGAAGAAGATATAGGAGTTAAACCAACTTGAGATGCAGCAGCAGAAATGAAGCAAAAATTGAAGAAAAGAAATAGCAGAGTCAACACCACTGTCATTCAAGAGCCAGCATATCTCCTCACCTTCATGAAATTTTTCCATCAGCTTTAGTATGACACACCCACCCACAGATAAACCCTTCCAATGATCTACACTCTTTCTCATCCACCTTCATTTTATGGACCTTAAAAACTGTGGTGATAGCTTCTCATTCTATCTTTTAGCCAATGTTTCAGCTTATAGGGCTTGAGTTGGAGGTAAACCAAATCTCCCACCTTGAAATGAACTTCTATTCTCATCTTATTCTTCTCTCTTCATGCATTCTTCATTGCTACTGAGACAACCTTTTCACCATTTATGGCCTTCGTTGCCAATTTCTCCCTTCTAGACACAACTTCCATTGTCACTGGAAATTTTCTCACCCATTAACCTTCAATATTTACTGGGACATTTTGCAATTTATGGCCTTCATTAGCTGTGACTTTCTTTGGCATTGGCCTTCAGAGTCATGTTTCTTTTAGTGACCAACTTGCAGATGTATTGACCAAACCGGGTGCTGTCTTTCAGAACTTGTTGTAGAGCTTTGCATGGAACATATCTATTCATTAGCTTGAGAGGCAGTGTTAGAAGTGATGGAATCGTGATAATGTCAATAATTTAGTTAACCGGTAATTCCATAATGTCCTTAATTGTAATTTGTCCCTAGAGTAGCCCACTTATGTCTATAAATGCTCATGTAGTTTCCTCATTTTAAATACACGAGAGAATTCCAGACACTTGTCACCTCCCCTTCTATGTATATGTGCTTATTGAATTTCTGTCTATTAGGCTGCGGTAAGACCAATATATTTTGAATCAGTAGTTGCATCATTTCAATGTCTGGTTTGATTTTGAAAACATTGATTACAATACAAGTCACTAAAGACTCATTAAGGCGTACTAATTGCAGAATAATAATCTATTAATCGCAGAATTAGTCCCATGCTAAACATGCTAATTGCAACTAATGCATTCTGCTGATTAAGGCATGCTAACCATGCTGATTACATTAATAAGCTATTAGTGTATTTGTGTACGAACATTTAGCTTTATTAATGACATTTAATCTGTTTAAAGTCGTTTGCTAGCTTCTGTTGGAGCTTGTCATATCCAACTTCCATGAACATTTTCTCTTTTTATCGGTGGACACTGTTTAGATTTGGTGTTCGGACTCTTCAGTTACTTATTGACTATAATACGCAATTTCTAGTAGATAAAATGTTTGGCCTGAAGCTTTATATTTCTCTAGATATCACAGTACTTATCCATTCTCAGAAAATGTCAAATTGGATGAGAATCCCTTTGCTTCACAATTGTCTTAGTATTTCTTTAATAAAAAGTTTTTCTGAGTATTATTTATCTCTTCAGGATGATTCAGTCTTTAAGGAATGAAGCAAGCAAGTCGGAGGATACATTTGCACAACTTCAAGAAATTCAGGAATCTATCAGACTTGCATTTTTAAATTGTTTCCTGGATTTTGCTGGTATGTTGGATGGGCTGACCTAGTGTCATGTTCTGGCATATTTTTTCTAGTTGGGGGACTTATCCAGTAACAAAACTTGCTTCCATGATCGTGCTGCCAGGTAATTTAGAGCGCATTGTTAGTGAGCTTAAGCAATATAGTCCAAGTAGGGGAGGCTCCCTCTTACCAAATGGATATTCGCATGAATTTCAAGGAAATGTGTCTTCTGATCTTCATGGAGGCGTTACTGATCCCCAGCAGAAGTTACTAATAGTTCTAAGTAATATTGGATATTGCAAGGATGAACTATCTTACGAGTTATATGGCAAATATGAGCATGTCTGGTTGAATTCCAGGTACTTTGTAATTGTTGTTTCCTTTCTTTATTACAAAAAATGCTAATAAATTCATCAGTCCACATATATAAGTAAAAAATTGTTGCAATCATCTGGATGCATTACCATCGTTGTTGAATGGAGGTTGCTGACCTGGTTAGGTTCCAGGAACTAATTCTGCCTGAAATTTGTCGTTCGTTTGACCTGAAAATTTCAGGATCTTTAATCAGTTTGCCCTGTTTGTCTTTGTCTACCAAGAATTCACAAACCTGCTTGATATCTTCCAATCTGATGCTTCTTATTATCTCTATTGCTTGCACTGTTAACTGCTATGGAGATTTGTTTTGGCTTAGGATAAATTGTTTCTTTTGCTACATCAGCTTTGTTGCTTCCTATTATAAAATGTTTTCATAACTATTGAGTCTACTGTATATCATTCATGCATTCTTTTCCCTGGTTTGCCTATACCTAATTCAGGGGTAAAGATGAAGCAGATAGTGATGTCCAAGATCTTGTCATGTGTTTCTCTGGGCTTGAAGAGAAGGTTCTTGAACAATATACTTTTGCAAAGGTAATGAGAAAACATATCTACTCCCCCATGTCCTGTAAGGGTTTTCTTTTTCTTTCTTTCTTTCTTTCTTTCTTTCTTTTTTAGTTGGGTGATAATCCTCCAATAAATATTTTCTTACATATCTATTGAACTACATTCTTTTTCTAGAAGTTCAAATTTAGATCAATTATTCGTCCAGGATCCTTAAAAACCTGGACATTCCTTGTTAAGAAAAACCGTGCTCAGTTTTCTTGCTTTCAGTGTTGAACTTTTTTCCTTGTATTTTTATTAGGCAAACTTGATCAGATCTGCTGCTATCAATTATCTGTTGAATTCTGGCATTCAGTGGGGAGCAGCACCTGCAGTTAAAGTGAGTTGCTAGTGATGATAAGGGTTATTATAAGTGTGACAGCTCTCATTATTTTTTTGCTCCAAAACGTTTACCTCTTTTTCTGGATTTTTCTTTAATCTATGGTACCATTTTCAGGGTGTGCGTGATGCAGCAGTGGAGTTGCTGCACACATTAGTAGCTGTGCATGCGGAGGTAATAATTGCATGCTCTTGGAAATATTTCTTGTGGTAACAAAGAAACCAGTAGAGGAAATATTATGAATGGCTTCTGATCTCGCTGCATTTATAGTTGTACTGTACTCAGTTGGCCATCAAAGTATTAATGTCGCAGGATAAATTAGGACAAGGAAAAAATTATTAAAAAAAAATACAAGCATTCTGCCATAACCCGAAGTCACCAAAGCACACTAACTAAATTTTTGCACTTGCTCCAGTGAATAACTTGGTCTTCTTCTGAAGAAAAAGACTTCCACTTAGGGCATAGCCAATTTCCTTTAAAAAAAAAAAGAGGGAGAGAGAAGAAAGAAAGGAAAATAAAATAAAGGCCTCCTCCAAATATAATTAGTTACTGGCGAAGTCAAGTGTGTGTTTTCTTAAAAGAAGGGTGGGGGGGGGGGATAATGTGTCTATTTTTGAATGAGATCGTCACTGATACATTGATTACCTTTTAAACATAATGCTCCACTCGATCTGGGGCTATAAAAGTATAAATGGGCTTGAGGAACTTTGCTGAATGTTAATCTTACCCTTTTTATATTGTTGTTGACCTAATGTCAATGGTAATATATCTTCTAACTTTAAAACCAGTCTCCGATGATGGTCTTGAGAGTATGCACGTCTATAACTGTTATAAAATTAGTTCCTAAGTATGGTGTGTGAATATTTGTAGTCCCAAGCAGCCTTTAGAAACATAGTATGTGAACTTATGTCAAAAGGATATTTTATCAATACTAATGGAGGCAAATAGTTACTTTATTAAATTTGTCTTAAAGTAATCTGCTGAGATAAAGTGTGCCTTGCCATAGGTTTTTGCTGGTGCCAAGCCCCTCTTAGATAAGACATTGGGCATTCTTGTGGAAGGCCTGATTGACACTCTAATAAGCATTTTCCATGAAAATGAAGCTACAGATCTTAGGACTCTTGATACGAATGGATTCTGTCAGCTGATGTTGGAGGTATGTTTCATGCAATTTTATTTATTTCTTTAACCATGCACTATAATCATAGCGCACAATTTGAACTATGATTATCTTGGTTTTCTTCCAATCTGAGATGCAAATAGTAGCAGATGGTTGATTTAGATTATTGTTATATCAATGGTTATGCTTGCTACAATGACTGAAGCAGGAGAAAATCAAACGAGATTTGCATTTCCATCCCTTTCTTCCTTTCCACTGTTCTTGCCAGGCCGTACATTTGACATGTGAAATTCATCCATTCCTCTATCCATTTTTATCTTCAGTTTCTAAATATGTCTGCCATGAGTGCTAATCTTCAAAAATTTTGTCCGCCCAATATTGATGCTTTCCACACAACATAAAGAAAAGAAAAGCTGTTTCGCACCTTTTGATTGTTGGGAAATAAGAATGGATTGCATAGTAAAAGGATTTGCATCCTTCATGATGGAGGTTTTATGCTCTTTTTTTGCCTTTATGTTTTTTCCCTCCTTTTCCGTTATATCAGAAGGGTTTGAATTCTAGACCACTATCTATATCTCACCTTAGATATCATGACTCTACTCAATGCTGAGTTCTGATGGTTCTTCAACTGGCTTTCATGTCTGCAGCTTGAATACTTTGAGACTATATTAAACCCATATTTTACATCCGGTGCAAGAGAGTCCTTGAAATCTTTACAAGGTTGCTTTTGGAGAAAGCAACGGAAAGCGTGGCTGATATTGTGGACAATCCTGGACATAATCGTCGGCCGACTCGTGGCAGTGAAGATGCAGCTGGAGATGAGAGACTGCAAGGAGCAACTGTATCACCGGATGAACTCATTGTAAGCAACTTCTTAATGCAGTTTGGCTTTTGTTTCGCTACGAATCCTTGATTTTTGCTGGATTTGATCAGCTATATAAAGATGGCGTTTTATTTCATTGGCTAAATTGCACCTTTAATCATTTAACTTTATACAAGGTTTTATTTTGGTTCCTTAATTTTATAAAATATTTTTCAGTGTTTTAACCTTAACACCATTTAATTTCATTAAAAAAAATCTAAATTGAATTTTTAAATATTGACAAAACATTATCAAATGTTGATATATTAAGTTTAATTTTCTAAAATAACAATAATTGACACAAAAAGTAATTATTTGAAATTAAGATATTAGGGTTAAATTTTCTAAAAGAATCATGATTGATACAAAAAGTAATTATTTGAAACTGATGGTAGTAAAGTTAAATAACAAAAAATACTTTATAAAATTAAGGGAGTAAACTGAAACTTTCTATAAAGTTGAAGGACTAAAATTATACTTTAGCCTATTTCATTTTATAGGTATGGGGTTTATTCTAATTTTGGCTTCACTATGCCAATAAGTTATTTTCATGCTCGAAAGGTGGCTCAAGTACAAGGCCCCCATTTACTGTCTTAGGAATGAAGTTCTCAGTTTTATGCCATTGTATTTATTACTCAATGATTTACGTTTTTTCTTATTATTTTAGTATGTATATAAAAGTCTTATATTCCTCCATGAAAATGGCTTTATTCATTTTATTTTATTTTTTGGTAGATTATTCATTTTATTTTACTCCATGTATCAAGTATCAACCGAGCCGTTAAAATTGTGCATTGTGTGGAATTCAGGCTCTTGCACAGCAGTATAGCTCTGAGTTGCTTCAATCAGAGCTGGAGCGGACTCGTATTAACACGGCATGCTTTGTGGAATCAATGCCTTTGGGTTCGGTGCCAGAACCCGCAAAAGCTGCTTACTCTACCTTCAAGGGATCAATGGATTCTCCTAGTAGAAATTACAGAGGCACCAGTCACACTGGATCCCCAAGTTTCTTTCGGAGACAACGATGAATATTTTAGCAACCATTGCCTTTGTTTTCCTGCTATGTGTTGTTGTAATTTTGTTTATATAGTTAATAATGGAACATTGAACTCTTCTGCTTTGCTGTCATTTTTTATTTTTATTGGTGTTTTTGGTTGGAATGGGAGTTTTCGATAATTTGAGTTTTGGGCCCAATATTGTATTCTGTATAAAAGTTTTTCCCCAGCTAAGGTTGATTTCTTTTTAGTTCTTCTTAGACCCATGTTCTTATTTTTTTCACTTGGAATAATTTCAAGAATGGTGAAACTTTTGGTCTCTAAGTTTAATCTTTTATTCAAAGTTTCATGCAGTTATCATGTTACTTCTAATGGTGCTATTTTTTCTTCAAACCATGAGAATGAATTGTGTATGTTTATGAAATTTTAGAGATTTGATTGATAAAAATTTAACTTGAACTAAATTAATAATTAAGACAAATTTTATGGACTTGGCTAAGATTTTTTTTTTGATATATCTCTTTAATTTTAGATATTGAATTCTAATTTTTTTAGTAAAGTATAATTATATTTGCAATCAATGAAGAGCTGCACAACATGCGCATGATTGTGTTATGACTCATGATTTACTCAATCTTTGGATTAGTTAGTCAAGCATGGTTGGGTATATTTTGTGGTTCAAGTACTGTTGGATGTGTCCCTACTCTTCAGCTTTCATTTAAACTGCTCCTTTTCAGCTCCTTTCCCCAATTCTCTCACTTCTAGTTTAGCTTGGCTTTTATTTGTGCTTGGCTTTTTGTCAGTCTCTTTGTTCTTCCTTTGTGTGTTTGTAGCTTGATGTGGCTTTATCCTCCTCGTGGCTTTATGTCCTCGTCTTCCGTTCACATTCACCACGCCATCTTAGTCCAGATGTAGGTTTCTGGATTTTGCGATGCTTTCTTGCTAATTGTCGTTTGCCTATTTGGGTTTCATCGTTTTTGGGGTTCGTATCAAATTCAGGCAATCAATGCAAACGGTTATCTCCCATATCACACTGCGGGAATTTGTTGGGAGCTCCATCATATCTTTAACAGATGGCTGTTTATTATATTAGATATTGAAATGGTAACAACAATATAATTTTATTCAAATTATAACAGGTAGTAATGTCCTTGAGCAATATAGTAATGAAACTAACAATATATAGTATCCACGTTGATTAGTGCAATATAGTAATGAAACTAACAATGTATAGTATCCACGTTGATTAGTGCGTCATATTTACGATACTGCATTAGAACAAGGCTCCAAAACAGCATGGCCATGCAGTTTTCCCTTCCTCAGATGGTGGCATCAAAATCTCCACAAAAAATGTCAAATTGAAAGGAGTGTATATATCATTGTTTGTAAACCTAGGCTGTCCCAGTTTAGTTGACTCATTAATCACCTAGCTGATTCAGTTGATTGAAAAAATCAGTCATCTTTGACCCAATATCAATCCAATCAAACCCAACCAACCCAATAGGTTAATGGGTTCATTTAAGTCAGATTTTATTATTTTTATTTTTCTTTGTTTTTTCCTTTCTTCTTCTGAATATTCAACCCTAAATCAAATATAAATTTCTTAATTAATAATTTTAATGCTATTGTGTTCTATTATTGTCAAAAACTTATAACTATTGTTTCTATAAGAAATATATAAGATTTTATGGATAAATTTTTTATTTACTCAAGAATTAAAGACTTTTATTTAAATATTACTGTCTTTTATATGAATATTTTTATATATTTAATTATATTATATTATTTTAACCGTGACCGGTTTGACCCTTGGTTAGAACACTAACCCTTAAATTACTACGTCGATTGATTTAATAATCAGTCTAATTTTCAGTAGCTTAGTATATATTGTTTAAAATGTATATATTCATTATCTTTTTATTAGCAGAACTCATATCAACTCAACGAATTTAAGAAAAACTTGCTTTGAACTAAAAATGCAAGATATGAGGGGGCTCTTGAGCGATGAGGGAGGAAAAGTATATGCCATGAACGACTTGAGGTTCCAACTGGGCTCAACTCGATTGGATATTTGGCAAGCCCTTGATTTTTGTCTCGAGTCAATATGGAAACAATTTTCACAGCTTTAAAGTGTACTTACAAATATAATAGGACATGCACGTTACTTAATAAATATATTAGGACATGCATGTTATACTTACCAATAAAATCCTTATAACAATAATAGAAAAATTCAATCACATGCTATTACAAAGTAACTAAAGCTAGAAGTTGCAACCAATAAGCTAGTTCAGTTAATAAAAATTTGACTCATAACTCACAAAGTTGTAAAGTTAAATTTCATCGCTGATGTGAGGACTTTGGTGGGCAATTTGTGAATACTTATGCAAGTGCTATTTAAGCCCAGGGCATGCATTGACCCTAGTAAGCTCCCACCTTTTCTTGAGGATCTTGGCAAATGATCTATAAATACTCTTCAAATTTGGGATATGCCTTGTCTGTGGTGAGCTTCGTACCCCTTCCGTTCCTTGTTTTCCTCCTTGTTTCATTCACTACTAAATTCCCTTTTACCGCAATCGGCGCCAACAGAAAAATAATGGAAGACATGAGAAGTTGAAGTTGAGAACCAAATAATGGACGCGCCATCATCTCCCACCAAACTGTTTCCCTCCTCACCTCCCTCTTTCATTCTCTTCCTCTTTCCCAGTCACTCTCAAGGTACGTATCTCCACTTCTTTCCTAACCAAATTTTGAACACTACTACAGATTTTAAAATATTTAATACATACATACATACATACATACATACATACATATATATATATATATATATCTAACAGTTATGAGAAAATCTGTTGAATAAGGGAATGCAGAAAATGAGCAAAAGAATATTTGACTGTTAGATTAAAAACCATCAAATATAAAATACATATATTTAACGATTACCATCAAAACCTATAATATTTAAATTATTTATTTTTCAAAAGCTTCATTTTGTAAGTTTGACAATTTTAGACTGAACCATCAAATATAGTGAAACAATATTTGACAATTATAGTGTAAAACTATCAAACTTATATAATTTTAAATTAGATCTCATTCTAGCTCGTTGCACTACTTCTGATAGCTGAATGAGATATACCCAAAATGAGTCTCGCTAAAATTTCTTCTGCATCCAATATCTCTACAATTTTGTCTCCTCTAGAGGCATTGATCTTTAGATATCTCATTGTTCCTCGTGCTGAGCTTGTTCGAGCACAAAATCATCTCCCGAATTAGAGCTTTCAAAAGTGATTGAGCTGCTGCTTTGTGAAGGATCAAAGGTTGGTTGCTTTCTCAAAGGTGTTCCATTATTTTAGCTTGGTGGAATCCGTTTGAGCACGTTGACTTTGTTTTGTTCTACATTGATCGAAGAAGTTCCCAAATGTGTTCAAGTTGTTGATTCTCGCTTTTTGTTCAAGGTTGAGGTTCGAATTAATGATTGTGGTAACTATGGTTTATGATTGATTCTTATACTAGATTACTTGCTTTGCATAGATCATTGTCTTCAATAGCTTAGTGCTCAATAGAAGCACATTCATATTATTTGCTCTTGGTTCCATGGATACACACAAGGTGCTCAATAGAATGTCTCTAAAAAATTGAAAATTACTTGAGCATGTGTTCCTGTTTGTTGCTGCCATTGTGGTGACCATAAAGTCATGAACTTAAATGATGTGGGAGGAGCTTAGATGATGCTTTACTTTTCTTTGTTTTGCCTTGCATTCACATTATAAATTCCATTATTTTTTTCCTCATGAAAAGTATGTCAAAAGCTTACCTTCACAAGAAAGGCTTTTAAGGGATCATGCTTTGTTTAATAATGAAAGGCTGGATTATTTTGTAGAGACCTTTTTTGGGTTTAATAGCAATAAGAGACTTAGAGATATAATATGCTTGGCACACAATTAAATCAACCCAAGAACAAACTGATACATGAGAACTTTGAGCCCATTCAGACGTGCTGTCTACTTATCAATGCCTCTTAAGCCCATTTCTATTTCATTTTTAATAATTTTTATGTGGACCCTTTCATTTGATATGATGAATATTTAGATTCAAACACATTTTCCAAGCCTAAATATGATGGAAAAATGCATGCTTATGCACATGACACTACTTGTTTAGTGGTTGTTTGTCTTAACCATCAAACAAAAGAATAAAAATAGTTGACATTTATTTCTCTAGTTGACATTATAGAAATTGAGTTGTTACTGTTAAATTAAGTTTGATTAAACTATACAAGGATTGAATTTAATATAAAGAGAGGGTAAAATGCCCAAGCAACTTTTAATTATAAGTTGTTATGCTACTGAAATTTTGTTAGATAGTAACAAAATTTGTGGCTTTATTACTTATGTTTCATATGTTTGAAATTATGTTTTTGTGAACTTGGTTGTTATCCTAATTAAGTAGGATTGAATTAGAATATAGTAATAAAACTTCATGATTTTAGTACTTATTAGTAGTCAAATTTTTACTGAAACTAAGTTCTTGAATTTAGTTTAAGTATTTATAGTCAATAAAGTTTAAAGAAGAATTATATATAAAAGCATGTGACTCATGATTGAAGTTTGATGAAGACCCAATATTAGTAAGTCACTAATCATATTTTTTTTTCTCAAAATGATTCTTTCTAAATTTGGAAGATGGACAAGGAATGGATACCTTCCAATCGATTAATGAAGGAATACTTAAATAGGGTGAAAGAGTTTATTAAGTTTACACTTGAGTACACAAACAATCATACTAGTATTGTGTGTTCTTGTGTAAAATATTGTCTGATGAAATGGATTTATGTGTCTGAATTGAAAGATCATTTAATGTGTTATGAAATTGATCAGAGTTATAAATGTTGGTGCAAGCATGAAGAGGTAAAGGATGCAAGTTGGGGGTGTGGCAAGAGCCGCATGTGATATGATTTTGATACAAGTACATATAAGGTTGATGAGGAAGACTACCTTGAAGAGATGACCAAGCAACAATTGAATAGGAACTAAAGGATTGTCCTAAAATACTTGAAAGGTTAAAAAGTAATGCAAAAAAGCCTTTGTATAGTGGTTATACTGATCTCACATTGTTGTTAGGAGTGTTGAGTTTGTACAACTTGAAAGCGAGCAGTGGATGGAGTGATAAGAGCTTTAGGGAATTGCTTACACTTCTTAAAGTGGACCTACCTAAAGTGAACAAGCTTCTTATTAACACATATCAAGCAAAATAAATGTTATGTGCTATTGGCATGAGATATGAGAAAATTCATGCTTGCCCAAATGATTGCATATTGCTTAGAAATGAATATGAATCATTAATTGAGTATCCCAAATGTAAAGCATCATGCTTCAAAGATAGCAAGAAGAGTCGGGAGAAGGCATCATGGTATTTTCTTGTTGTGCATAGATTTAGAAAATTATATATTAGCAAAGAAGATACAAAAAATTTAACGTGGCATACACATGAAAGGATTAAAGATGGAAAGTTACAACATCTTATTGACTCTCTTCAATAGGGAAGGATTAATCATGAATACTATGAAATCTCCTAATCTAAACACGATTAAAATCATAATTTAAGATAATCAAGAGATTAACCCATAAAGAGATAATCAAGTTTGAAATTCACAATAACGGGATCCCAAGCTTTCATCATTTAAAATAAGACAAAATCTAGTCATTAAACCTGTAGTCAAAGTAAAATCATGTTACGGAAGAATGTGATACCTCAAAAGAGTGAAAAGAGTTGAAAACAATTGAAAAATTTCAAGTTGTTAAAAACAGAGCAGTGCACTGTAGCTCATGCACCATGCACCGTGGCTTGTCACTCTTTGTGCCATGCGTTATGACGCAAGCGCCATACACCATACCGTGTCACACATTTGATAGCAAGCTATGCTATCATTTTGATAGCAAACTTGGGCAATTTTCTATGTGCCTCATTTCTTCGTCCGACATTTGAATGAGATGATTTAGGTGTCTAAGAAAAGATCTTTTCATTAGCTACCTAATGGCAGAGTTGTCCCTTCCAAATCAACTCATACTAAGAAGTTAAGCACCCAAATATATTTTTGCAACTTTTCACAACTTTTTCAATAAAAAAGGTGTCCAAAACCACATAAATGTCCAAAAAATATTCTTAATACCTAGATCATGTTCAATAGTATAACACACCACATGCATATATATACCACTATATCATATTTTTACCCCTCAGCCCCTTTTTACCTAAAAAAGAGGGAGGTTTTAGCATTGTGTTTTATCAAAATAATCTATATCCTGTTCAAAATAACTTTATTACACTTATACTAGTATTTTGGCTCTATCAACATTTGCAACTTATCATCAACAATATCTCAAGGTCTAAAATACACTCCATATATCATAAATAACTATATAGTGCAATTGTAAACAAAATTCATCAATATTTAGTGTATTACACAAAATAAATAAGTCATAGAGGCATTACACTAGGAATATTCAAATTCCTAAGCCTCCAGAGCTCTTTTCCTTTTTGCACCAAAGCTAGAGCCTATAAAATGTTAAAGAAAAGAGGTGAGTCTAACCACTCAATAATCAAAGTAAGCTTATTCTATACAGTTACATATTAACTAAACAAATACATGAGAATGACGTTGATTTTCTCAAAATACATACTAACACTTGTAACAAAAATTATTATTTTTCAATTAACTTGTTCTCATCTTAAACACATGGTATATTGTCACAAGATACACAGACATGTGACAATGACCCAATTCATTAACAAGACTTGCCACAAACTTAAAAAATCATGTGACACGTCATATAATTACATATGCATGATCAAACCATGCTTATATCCTCTTTATTTCCTCCAACTATAACCATAGGCTATAACATCAAATAGGCCTTTGTTCATATGACTGGATTATCCAAACTCACCAATTGTAAGGAATGACCCAGTCAAAGATTCACTACTACAAAATAAGCTTACAGGAGCGCTTTTTTTTAACCTTAGGGAGCACTTTTGAAGCGCTCCCGTATCAAGCGCTCCGAAATTTACAGGAGCGCTTTTTTTAAGCGCTCCTGTATGTAAGCGATACAGGAGCGCTTTTAGAAAAGCGCTCCCGTAATAGCGCGTCATGTATGGGAGCGCTTTATGTAAGAGCTGATGCATACCGGAGCGCTCTCTATAGGAGCGCTCCCGTATGTAACCTTACCAGAGCGCTCTTTACAAGAGCGCTCCTGTATTGAACTTACCGGAGCGCTCTTTAAAAGAGCGCTCCCGTAAGTTTCTTTACAGGAGCGCTCTTCAAATGAGCGCTCCCGTATATTATATTTATTTTTTTTAAATTAAATTTTTTAAATTTCTCCTTTTAAATATCTTTAATAATGGCAAATATAATATCAAAAACTAATTTAAAAATAATATCAACATAAAAATTTTATATACAAGAAAAAAATTTGAAACTGATACAACAATTTCAATTTTCCAACTAACCTAGTTTAATTTCTAACAAGCCTAACAAATGAAACTATTGTTATTTTTTTAATATTGAAATCTAACTTCCTATCACAAACAGCCAATAATATATTCTGACCATTCTTCAACTAAATCTTCTATTTGCTCCATAGTAAAATGCGAATATCTTGCTCCAACAAAATACTACACAAGATATGAAAGCAATATATAAGTAATTAATATTATATTAACTTAATTTCAAAGCTTTTGACTTACATTTTCAGGAATGATCAACTCTTGTTGTGTGATTACTTCTCTCATAAACTTCATAACATAGTATCCACACTCCCAACCTTGTAATTGTGTAGGTACCTATAAAACAATAAAAGATGTCATTTATATGGTAGAAATAAATTCTAACTTAATTTAAAATACTTCAGTGATGAAGTTATATATATGATACAAGTATTTGCTGTCGAAAATCCGGCAGAGTCTCCCCTATAACTTGGAAGTTCCAGAATTTTTCAAAAATTCTACATCAATCCAGAACAACATATTCAGAATAACAAACATAAAATATCAATCAAACAATCATTTAGATATGTACCAACTTGTTTTATTAAGAAAATAATACAAACCTTTATTCTTTTCCAAGAATAAAACTCAACAGGATCAGGTCTTTCGGTGTTTGGAGGGAGACCTTCACCTCCTCGATAACGTGCTACAGCCCTATTATATAATGATTAAGCATACCAAGTAAAAATTAATTATTATAATAAACATATATAAAGAATATAGAACTAAAAACTTACTGATTAAATAATATCCTCATAGATTTGTAGTTCTTAAAGTCACTATCTCTTAATGAATCAAGATAATAAATCACAGGGACGAATGGATTGATACAAACAAGCACCCAATGTTGCCTGAAAAAATAAAATAGTTCATTAACTAAAATATCAACTAAAGTTAAAAATAAACAATAATAACAATTTACCCTGGATTGTGAGGAGCTAAAAATAACATGTTTCTTTTGCCTTTGACTTTGAATGCATCAGTAATCTTTTGAGAATGGTACTCAACACTGTAGGTACTAGTGTTGTGCGGGCTAATAAATGAAAATTTTGTTATCAATGAGCCCGGCACCACAAAAGTATGATATAAGTACCTAAAATGAAAAAAAATAGAATCATTCACAACTAAAATTAAATAAATACCACAATAAGTAATAAAATTGAGAAAGTACCTGATGTATAAACTAATTTGTGTTGTTTGTAGCCAATCCTTGGTCAGAATCTCGTTAATATTTTCAGCTGCTAATTTTTCGCTAATTATTTCACCATAAATCTCCTTTTCAAATTCTACTTCACGAATCTCATTTTTCAATGTTGTCCGCATAATCATTTCAAGTGCATTTTGATGAGGATATTTCAACTGAGTAGATTCTGTGCTGGTCTTCCTTGCCTTAGTCACAGAGGTAGATCCTTTCGATGGCTTTTCTTTCGCTTTGATTGGCTTTTTACAACTTCTTTAAATTTTGAGGACTACAAGATGTAAAATGGATTGGTAAGGCCGTAAGAAAACATGAATGATTTTAAAGAACCATCAATTATTATACCTGTAACTTAATGAGCTTTGAAGGCCAAGCCACATAAGTTCCAACGGCATCAAAAATCGTGAATATATCCTCATCTTCTATTTGCACTGGCAACTCAGCATCATTTTCTATTGGAATAGTTATAGTCACCTTTAAGTGATCAGCAGCAATGGTCTGGAGTGTATAGTAACACTATTATCATTATACACAGATCCGATTGCCACAACACGACAATGTGGTGATTCTAACCATAATTGACATTGAGACTCGCCCTAAAAATTAAAAATTAATATCTTAAAAAAATGTGAAACATAATTTGTGAATAAAGAGAAGATAATAGAAAGAAAAATTATAACCTTAGGAAAGTCTTCTTTAGTATGGAAGGAGCAACTATCTTTATCACTGGGGCTACCTTGTGGCATATTTATAACTCCAATCATTTGCTCAAATCTCTTTTCCATTTGAGCTTGAAATTTTTTTTCCATTCTCGCCTCCATTTCTGCCATCCTTGCATTAAAATCATCTTCAGTAAAAATTTTAGACCGACGTCCAAAGTAGGTGCCCTGAGAAATGCCAAATCCAACTCCTCTAACACGACCAGAGACCTCTGGAGCTCCCAATGCCCTACCAAGGACATCCACATGCTCCCCCACATCATCTTGTGATATTGATTGTGATAATGCTTCCTGTTGAACAAATTGTAAACTAATTATTAAGTAAATAATGTAAATAAAGTAATACACTAAAATATTAATACTCACACAATCCTCCCAGACTTTTCGAGTGCGTTCATCAGGTAATTTGCCTTCTTTATCTTCTCGAGCAGTCTTCCAAACAAGAGCTCGAGAAATTGGAGCATTAGGTCCAACTTCTTCCCTCTATTTAAAGAAGATATTAGAATAATTAAAAAACATTTCCTTATATATATATATATATATATAAGTAATATCAACAGACGATATTAATTGAAACTCACCAAACTATGTTCAATATCTGGATAGCTCTTTCTTCCTGCTCTATATTGAAAAGGAGTACTTGCGGCTCTAGAGCGATTGACCTGGCTGATCTGTTGAAATTCAGGCTGTTGGCGCATTTTAATAAATTCATCCCAATGCTCTTGCTGGATCTCTGGATACATTTTAGGAGGATGAGGATTGAATTCTTCATTTGCATCTTTTAGATGATATGTTGTGAGGGTAGCTCGAAACTTTCTATGAGCATATGCTGCTTTTCTCATGATATAATGCCTATGACTCTCATCCAGGTCAAAAGATATACACAAATCTTCCCATATATTATTTTTTGCTTCTTCAAGCTGTGGGTCATTTTTCTTTCTCCAGTCTGCAATGCAACAGGAACATAATGACGAGCTAAGACCCCTATGTAACTGGCCAACTGAGGAGACTTAACTAATTGGCCCCTATCATTCCAATTTACTGGTAATTTACGACCAGCTGCTCGAGCCCGTATTACTGCTTTCATAACAGTTTTACCCCGTTTAACCTCCTTGAATGCTTCTTCTTCAGTGGGTGGAGCATCACCACTGTTCTCAGGTGGGGTAGCCATATATCTGAAAGGAAAAATGTAAATTTTTAACAACAAAAAAAAATTTAACTAAAAATAAATTTTTAACAATTAAAAGAAAATTTAAATAAAGAACTTACAAGTGTTAAAATTTATTTTTTCTTTTTTTTTGTTTTTTCTTTTGTGTGTTCTACATATCCCTCATCAATCCAAATCCCTTCCGCGTGATCTTCTCTAATATAGAAGGCATTATCCCCAGTTGAAACATCAAATGTCCGTGATGTTCCCATGAAAGGGTCATCCTCAACATTGAAATCTTCATCCTCCTCATTACCCACTATTTTATTTGTTAAAAGAACAATCGACCAATTTTTATGCGCTGGATCTGACACATAAAACACTTGTCGAGCTTGTGATGCCAAAATGAATGGTTCATCTTTATGAGCCACCTTATTAAGATCTACTTGAATAAAACCTAACTCGTCAATTCGAAAGCCGTTTTTATTGTCAACCCACGTGCAACAAAAGACAGGTTCACGAAACTTGATATAATCCAATTCCCAAATGTGCTCTATAATCCCAAAATATGACATCATTGCATAGATTGGATTCTTGTCTTTAAAACTAGAGACATGCATTGATTGAGCTTTAAGCGTTACACCACTATTCTGCATAGTGCTCCGAGCATCTTGACTTTTTGTATAAAATGTAAAGTCATTAATTACATAACCTGTATAAGAAAATACTTCAAATCCAGGACCCCTAGCCAAAAACCTCAACCTTTCTGATGGGTGAGACTCCTCAGAGATGCGAGATCTAAACCAATATATAAAGTGCCGGTTGTGATATGTTGCTAGCCATGTTTCATTTTTACCTTTATTCTGACTCTTAACTATTGCCTTGTGTTCGTTGATATATGGTTGAACTTCCTCAGTGTTGTGTAAAACATACAAGTGAACTTGCTCCCATTGTGTCTTGTCTATGCTAATGAGTTTCTTCCCAATGATTCCACCCTGTTCACCTGTGGTGTCTTTTGTGTACTTTGGCAACCCAATGGCATCCACATTAGAGAGATATCCAGTACATAATTCAACTGCTTCTTCCATGATGTACCTCTCAACAATACACCCCTCAGGCCGACTTCGATTTTTTACATATCCTTTTAATACTTTCAAGTAACGCTCTACTGGGTACATCCATCTCAAATAAGCGGGGCCACACAACTTTATCTCTCTAACTAAGTGAAATGATAAATGAACCATGATGTCGAAGAACGAAGGCGGAAAATACATTTCCAGCTCGCTTAAAATCTTAGCTATTTCATGTTCTAGCTTTGGCAATTTTTCTGGGTCAATCACCTTGCTACAAATTGCCTTAAAGAAGAAACAAAATCTAGTAATCGTGGCTCGCACCTTCTTCGGCAAAATGGATCGTATACCAACCGGCAATAAATTTTCCATGATGACATGACAATCATGAGTCTTGAGACCTACTAGTTTGAGGTCTTTCATGGATACGAGGCTACTTACATTTGAAGAATATCCTTCTGGCACTTTAACTTCATGCAAGAATTCACAGAAAGCTAATTTTTCTTTTCTAGACAAGGTGTGAGCTGCTGGAGGTAAAAAAGTGTGTTTTTCCTTCCTCTCTGGTGCCAACTCTTCTCTTAACCCCATGCTAATCAAATCCATCCTTGCATTAATTCCATCTTTACTCTTTCCTGAAATGTGGAGTAATGTGCCAACAAGACTATCGCAGACATTCTTTTCGATGTGCATTGCATCCAGGAAATGCCTAACATCTAGGGTCTTCCAGTATGGTAGCTCAAAGAATATGGACTTCTTTTTCCAACCATTCTTAACAATCTTACTTGCAAATGGTTTTCCAAATTCAATATTTAAATCTTTGACCTTTTCAAAAAGCTGCTCACCAGTTAATGGCATGGGAACTCTACCCTTCTCCGGGTGGCCATTAAAGGCCTTCTTTAGTCGTCGGTAATGATGTGTTTGCGGCAAAAATCGTCGATGACCAATAAAGACATTCTTCCTACAATGTTCCAACCGCACTGAACATGTGTGCTCCTCACATACTGGACATGCATCTCGTCCTTTGATACTGTATCCTGATAAATTGCCATAGGCAGGAAAGTCATTTATGGTGCCAAACAACATTGCTCGCAGGATGAAATGTTCTTCTCTATACCCATCATAAACTTCCACACCTGTCTCCCATAAAATCTTCAGATCTTCAATCAGAGGAGCTAAGTACACATCTATATCATTTCCTGGTTGTCGAGGCCCAGAAATCAACAATGACAGCATCATAAATTTGCGCTTCATGCACAATGCTGGAGCGAGATTGTAGATCATCAAAATAACCGGCCATGTACTATGAGTACTACTTTGCATGCCATGTGGGTTCATTCCGTCAGTGGCTAGTGCAAGGCGTAAGTTTCTATCTTCAACCCCAAACTCAGGGTATATAAGATCAAACTTTTTCCATTGAGGAGAATCTGCAGGGTGCCGTAGCTTGCCATCCTTAATTCTCTCATTAGCATGCCATGTTAAGTGTTTAGCATCTTCTGCAATGCTATATAGGCGTCTAAATCTTGGTATGATTGGAAAATACCACAATGCCTTCGCTGGGCTACATCCATTTCTTTTGTACCGTGATGCATCACATTTTGGACACTTATCTAAGGTTGAATACTCTTTCTGAAAGAGGACACAATCATTTGGACATGCATGTATCTTCTCATAGCTCATCCCAATAGAACAGAGCACTTTTTTAGCTTCGTAAGTATTAGGTGGAAGCTCGTTGTACTCAGGTAACATTTCATATAAGAGTTCAAGCAAATCCGTGAAACTCTTATCGCTCCATCCATTCGCTGCTTTTAGGTTGTATAGTTTCAAAATAACTGATAGTTTTGTGAATTTTTTACAACCGGGGTATAATGGTTTATCAGCATCACTCTTCAATCTCTCAAACATCTCAGGACAGTCTCTAAGATCCTCTTCAATCACATCAATCATTTCATCAAGACGGTCAACATCATATATCCCAATATCACGATCAAATGTTGAGTAGCTCGCACTATCCCTCCAATCACTTGCATTATTCCTTCTCTCCCCATGCATGGTCCAACAAGTATAAGTTGGATCAATCCCATTACATATTAAATGATCTTTCAATTCTATTGGCTTTACTCTTTTTCCATAGCAACATTTCAAACAAGGACATATGACTCCACGGGGGTCTTGATCACGACAAAATGCAAATTCAATGAATTCATCTACACCATCCCAATATTCTCTAGATAGTCGATTAGCCGACATCCACTTACGATCCATGTCACTAATATGATTACCAAAATTCAATAAACAAAAGACTTAAATTTCTATAAAAAAAATTCAACAGTATCTTCCTTAAAAGAATAATCTCTCAAATGATCAAACAATCAAATTTCACAACACAATATATCTAAACTAAATAAATCAATTCATCCAAATAAAAATTTAGTACCATAATGTATCTAAATTCTGTCAATCAAGTGTAATTTAATTAATAACAATAATCTCTCATAAAAGTATATATCATAAATAAAATAAAAATGTTCAAGTAGTTTCCTCAAATTTAATCTAAATTATCAACTACAAATACTCCATAATTTTAATATAAATAACTTCAATTCATATATTTTCTATAATATTTATTATTAAAAAAATATTTAAAATTTATTCTCAAATATATATAAATTAATTATTAAAAAAATACCTTCAAAGTGTAGTCTTCACTGCAGAAGCGACGTCGATTCCTCTGCTGTACAGCAGCGACGCACAGCGGCAACGGAGGTCTTCACGGCGTCCCTTCCTCCGGTGTACAGTAGCAGCACAGATCTGCAACAGCAATACAGATCTGAAACAGAGATGCAAATCTGGAACAGCAAACAGCAGACAGCAAACAGCAAACAGCAGAATAGATGGATGGTGATCTGCAACAGCAATACAGATCTGGAACAGAGATGCAGATCTGGAACAGCAGAACAGATGGAGGTGTAGCAACAGCGACGCAGAGACCAGGCAGCGACGGCGCGACGGCGGTGACGCAGAGACCAGACAGCGACGCGACGCAGAGATCGGACAGCGACGGCGACGGTGATGCGGAGACGGATGGCGACGGCGACGCAGGGGAGGACAGTGACGGCGGCGGCGACGGCGATGCAGGGGAGGACGGTGACAGCGACGACAATGCGGCACAGAAACAAAGAGAGAGGCGTGACACAGAGAAGGAATGAGAGGCAATAAAAGAGAGAGAGGTATAAAAGAAACTAAATGGAGAAAAGAAAACTGACGGATGTATATAAGAGTGGGAAGACTCTTCCGGAGCGCTCTTCGTAGAGCGCTCCGGAAGAGTGATTCTTCCGGAGCGCTCTTAGTCGAGCGCTTGTTCCGGAGCGCTCTTCGTCAAGCGCTTCGGAAGATGCTTCGTAGGAAGGTTTTCTTGCTGTCTTCCGGAGCGCTTAAGTATGAGCGCTCCCGAAGGTATTTTTAAATTTTTTATCATATTTTATATATATTAATTAGGTGCGTTATCTTATTGTGAAGCCTGACATACAAGAGCGCTTATTTAGAAAAGCGCTCCGGTAAATTCTGCATTCACATTTTGGGGCGCTTTTTAAATAAGCGCTCCTAAATACCCGCTCCTAAAGATATATTCTGTAGTAGTGATTACAGGACTTACTTTCAGACCACAGCTTCCCCCACTCTAAAATCTCTAGAGTATCATATATCCTAAGCTCTCA